AGACTCATAACTTGCTTCCGGTGAAAACGGCCCCTCTCGAGCAGAAGAATAGTCACTTCCAAAAGCGCCTTCCTGGACCACTTCTTCGTCGGAGGAACAGGAGGAATCGCTGAGCTGGCCAGCAGCGATACGCTCAGCCTTGCTGAGAGCCGCAGCGATACACTCTTCCACCAGCACTGTATATTCAACACGAATCCTTTCGGCGTATTCAACGATCTTGCGATGGCGAACAACAGCATCTACTTTGGTCTTAGCGAGAGCTTCAGTATCACTTGAGAGGGCTGCCAGGCCCTGGTCCTGCTCTAGTGTATTGGAACTCGGAGAATGCCATTGAGCGACCTGGGTAATTCTGGACTCGGACTGCGGCGAGAGCGTCCGGAACTCCTCTCCAGGCTCTGGTCGGGATGATTCTTTGATGACCGACATGCTGATTTCCAACGCAGTATCGCAAAGATCGAGCACAAGCTCGACAATACGCGCAAGAGGCCGTCGAACAGTGAACGAACGAGGGCGACCGGGGCCTTGTGCGATTCCCGAAGCCGAGTGGTCTCTGGAGCGAGGAGGCGTCCCTGGTGCAGAGCTAATATTTGATACGGGTGCTGAGGATGGCGACGAGTTGACTGGTGATGGTCCGATCGGCAATCCTTTGTACTCCGGTTGGGGCGACGGCATGATATGACCATCAAGTCCAATCGCCGGTCTTCCCTGTCGAGACTCAAGCGCATCTAGTACTTTCACGATCGAATGTCGGTGCTCGTTCAGGTTCTCTTGCGCGATCTGGACGTCCATTTCCGCCCGATGCTCCTGGAGGCATAAGTCTGAATGCTTTTCGAACCACCACGGGGTGATCTGACGTTCACAAATTCGACAAAGTACCGGAGTTGGGGCGGGATGTTTCGCCGGGTCGGGTTCGTTCGCTGCTGCTTCTGCCAGCATGGTGAGATAGTTCGCGAGGACCTCCGCTCCAACGCCGAGCGACTCTACCAGCTGCGGTGGGAGATCGATTGTCACTTCTCGCGGTTGGGTAAACGGTCGGAGCATCCACATAGTCTGTAGCAATCGAGATTCAGGTCAGCTTTGCATATTTCGATGCGATACGGCGGATGTTCTGGGGATCGCATGCAACGTACGTGTCCGGCCTCATCATCTGTTCGCTCATATACCATAATACCCTGTCCCTCCATCGTGAGCACATTGCGGTCGACTTCGCCCTGCGAAGAGTCCGTCGGCTCATTTGTTTGTTTCCCCTCTCCTTCATCCTCGATCTCGACCGGGCGTGACTCGGGTGCGTATTTCAAAACCGAGTCCGGCCCCATCTGGACAGAGAAGCGAATGAAGCGACTCCGAGAGTCGTCCTCCTTCATTGCCTCCATCGCATCACGAAAGACATCTTTGTTTCCCAGCAGGAGATCGGATATCAAGCGACCTTCGACGGATTCCGGGGCCGAGCCCACAACCTGTCTCCACGATGGGCTGACCCATTTAATGCGACCGTCCAGGTTCAGATCCACGATGATGTTCAACGTCTGCTCGGCGGCTTCCTTCAAATCCTCACGCTCCTCCCGCATATCGTCACTCATACTCCGGGTCATTTTCGGGTTGATATTCCGAGCCTCCTGTCGCAAGGCCGTGACCGCCGGCGGCGCGAGGAATTGGGGGTTTGTTGAGCCATTGTCCGCCATAATGAATCGGTCGGGCCGACGAGGGGGGTTCACGGCCGGGCGATCGAAGGTAGTGTCGATTGTATATGCGATATGGATAGAATCAAAGAAAGTCGGGCAGGCTATCGAGCCAAGCAGAACCGTCTGCTGGAAGGCAGAGCGGATTGCTCTTGGGACAGACGAGGCCGAGGCTATCGATTCATCCGTAACATTAATAGGCCATGACGCATCCGCAGAGTATGAAATCAATGGATCCCACTGCGAATGCACTCAAATGGCAGAATGATGACTTGAGAGGAGGCCTAAAGGAAGTGCGAGGACGGAGGATAACGGAAGCCGTTGTCTATGCGGGGGGGAATGTGTAGTCGCGACGAGGCCGACGCGTAGGATCATCGACGTCAACCCTAGAGGCCGACCCAGGGAGGGGGGTAGATAGACTGGAATCAGGGAGATATTCGGGGTTGGAAAGGAGGATATCGATAAAAAAAACAACCAAACAAAAAAAAGAAGGGAGGGGGGAGAAAAAAGGAAGAGAGGAGAGGGGGGGGGAAGGAAGTGAGGGCGGTGATTGGCGGTGATTGGCGGCGGGTGTGCGTCTCTCCTCTCTTCTTCTTTTCCCGCTCAAGACAGACCAGCAGAGAGAGAGAAAGAGACAGTCTTGGACGATCATTTCTAATTTCTTCGACCTGCCATATGGGTACGATACTCCATCATGAATGATATCGTTGATTGTCACTGTCTGCCTGATCCTACATTCTACATTTACTACATACATTCCACTCTGAGGACAAGGCTCCTCGGCCTAGACAGGAGCATCGAACCACACCTTACGATCCAAGCTCAGCTCCTTGCTCATGACGTTGATTCAATCTATCAATCTCTCCGTCCGAGCTACCTGGGCTCAGTGGGCTGCAGAAATGGACTCGAGTCTGGATCCGATAGGTACTTTTGGGATTCAGAGCCAAAGTCAGAGTCAGAGTCAGAGTCCGACTTCAAAAGTCTGATAAATCCTTGTGGCTGCGCCTCGTTTAGCCCCCAAAGGCAGCTTTGCAGCTTGCAGCGCAGTACAGTGCAGTGCAGTGCAGTGTACGAGTAGTGCCTTTGCGGGACCTGTGCCTCCAAGCCCACACCACAGAGTTAGGCGGATATTTGCTCCTCCGCGAAGAAGCAAAACCATAAAACCACAAAACCGAAACTCGGTGGAGCACAAACAGTGGCTACATACAGTACGAAGTAAAGGGACGGGCTCCCCCGCCCCCCCCTGCGATGTCAATCCACCCACAGATTCCAAGCGGGCCCGATCCCTTCATGCCATGCAGTCCATTAGGATGTCATTCCGCCGCACTAGGACAGCATCACACCCCAGTTGGACGCCACCATCTGCTTCACGAGACTTCGCTTGTCTCGGGGTCTTTGAGAGCACGAGAGCAGACCCATGGGCCCATGGCCCTGCAGATTAATTCCCAGAGTGTTTTTAACCTTAGAAAGTGGATTAACGATTACAGCATGACCGCGACACATACACCCACCCACCCTCTTCCCTCCTCCCTGTTCAGTTGAGGGTAGAGTGTAGACCACATTGTTGCACCTTTCACTTGTGCCACGCAGGTCTATTTCGCGCCACGGTCCCTTACTAGGTCGCCATTGATTCATATATTGGGGGGAGGGGAGGCAACCAGAGCAATAAGGAAACGATCTCCGCCCGGAATGTTCGGGAGTGAGTAGAGGGGTGGAAGGAAGGGAAATGCCCCAAAGGTTCTAGCAAGTTTCCAGCAAGTTTCCCAACTTTGCTCAGTTTCCCAAGTTTTGGCATTTACCGTGGACCGTGGGCGATCCTTGTCTCCACCGTTTTCTTCATCCCCCGATTTGCGGGGTAGTCACCTGATGCCCGCCATCATAGCAACATTGTGCCTATCGTGCTCTCGTGCCTTTCATCCTCACCCTTTGAAAACAGGGATTATATCGTTCGTCCACGGTTGTGGCCCACCACTGGCGTGGACATAGACATGGGTATGGATTGTGTTGCGAAAAGCAGGGGACTGAGTTTCCTTCCCCATGACTGACGCCATCCATACCTCCCAAAAAGTATCCCGAGTTGAGGATTGGAGATACCCCCCGAGTAAACTTTATGCTTCTCCTTCCCCCCACCCTCCTTGAATCCAATGAGACCCGGTTAGCACCGGTCGTCCTGCATGGATCCGCCTCTGATCAGTGGGGAACGTTCGGATTCGTGGGTGCCGCTGTAATCCTTCGCGGCCGGCAGGGAGCTGCATTAGCGGACCGTGAAGGCCTGAGGGGAACCGAGTCAATTTGTAGATCTTTTCACTCATTACGTATTTCTGTGAATCATATCCAGGTGGCCCTGCCCCTCCCACACTGGCAGTCTCATTCCCGGCTCAAGGGGGCGGATTAATAGTACATCCCGTGGTCAGGCGGTCACAAGGTTGAAGGCTAATCGAACCTCGAACTTGGAACTATGGTTAAGATATGAGCTGGCCTTGCATAAGTGGAGTTACTAGCTCAAACGAGTCGATCTCAAGGTTTGTTCCAAGGTCAGTCACACTGGCATCATGATAATACAACCTTGGAACTTGTACTAGTAACACGGAGACTTCTTGATACTATATATGTCTCCGAATGATGTGGTCCATTCATAGATGGTGTTCGCCAGCCTTGGAATACTTCGAGTTCAACTTGAAGCTACAGGTGCTGCTAGTGCTATGCACACATTTATAGCATCGAGAGAAGCTAATAGACCACAACGAGGTCGGCATGAGTGGGCTGACGTGCAAAGATGGGAATGGACAGCCGTGGATGGAGACGAGTGCTTAGACCACTCCCAAGAATACATATAAAACTTCCGAGTTCTTCAAAGGTTTTAACTTGAACTTGAAGGTTAAGATAAGATCGTTGAGATAAAAAGATGAGTGCCTCGAGGCTATCTAGATCGGCGTCCAGACCGGTCATGTGATCTGAACCTTGGAATGCATCTTCATATCCCAGGTCCTCCCTACGAAAACTAAGATTAAAGTGGTAATATTCATGGATATACTGTATCAGGAAGCTATCCCTTGATGTTATAGAGCCCAGTTAGCTGTTAGCTAGCTAGTAACAGACAACATTGGATGAACTGTTCCCAAATAGGTCATTGGTCCCATACCATCCCAAATTGCTGGCTGATAACCGCCTGGATCGTCAGGTGTCGACCCATTCCAGCTTTGCCTGCTTTGTAATATCCAAGACCGCCCTCCAACTGAATCTATCACTTTCAAAGAAGACTACAGCCAAACTGGTAGCATTTTCATCCTCAACTGCTAACCAGTTTATATCGGTGCTTGAATGTCTTCCGCAACACCTGCTGAAGATCCCAGCGCTCGACGTAAACGGCCCGCTAGGAAGTATACCTCCCGCGCCTGCGAGGAATGCCGTCGACGAAGAGCCAAGGTATGCATCATCACCACCACCCGAATGTATATGACCTCCGACGTAGATCAAGCAACTGACCTCCTCGATAGTGCGATGGCAATAGACCCTCCTGCTCGCGATGTCTGGATCGCGGAATCCGCTGTCAGTACTCGACCGCCGAGGACGGGAGACAGCCCGCGCCTAAGGCATATGTGGTGATGCTACGGAATCGGATTGAGCTACTGGAGCGTGTATTGCACTCACATGGTATTGATCCAGAAGCCTCAGTTGCGCAACTGATGGCCGAAGATGAGCTTTCGAATCAACATCAACCAACTGAGTCGGAGTGGGCATCCGCCGGCTCAAATTGTAACGTCGAGGACTTGTGTGGTACTTTTGATGGAGCTTTAACCCTGGACGAATCATTGAACTTCGATCAGGATGGCGAGGTTAGATATTTTGGCCCTACCAGTGGAAGACTCCTCTTCCGCTCTTCGGAAAATGGTAAGTATACCAAAGTCTTTTCCGATTGTCAGCCAATGCTGAGCTGATATTGGCATATAGACTCTCCGGTCGAAGAGGCATATTCAACAGATCCATCATGTACGGGATGCTCTACCAATACACCGGAATGTCCAGAACCTGCCGCGACTTGTCGATACGAAGTGGCTGGCGAACTCTCTCCACCATACGAAACCTGGTTATCAGATGAACTTCAAGCGCATCTCATCGACCTATACTTTGAATGGGAACAGCCATGGTTTCAGATGCTAAATGAAACCCTCTTTCGAGAGAGTATGGCCAATGGCGGGCGATACTTCAGCCCCTTATTACTGACCTGTATTCTCGCGGTGGGCTCTCGGTATTGCGATCGACTCGAGGTTCGAACCGAGCCGAACGATCCCAACACCGCAGGGAGGATGTTCATCTGCAAAGCAGAGAAATTGATACAAAATGATTTGAGATGGCCCAAGATCACTACTATTCAATCATTGGCTATCATGGGCATGTTCTACATCGTACGTTACTATAGAATGCGAGTCTCATGAGTGCCGATCGCTGACTTGATCCTCTCCAGGCAACGGGTTCGGATGCAGCAGGTTGGCTTCATCAAGGCATGGCCAATCGTCTTGCTCTGGACATGGGTTTCAATATGGATCCGGCCGTTTTGGCCGGGCTGTGTCCCTCCCGCCCATCGAGATCGAGTTGAGGAGGCAGATCTATTGGGCTTTGTATTGCCATGATAAGCTTTCTGCAAGCTATGCTGGTAGAGTCTGCACCCTCCTGGTATGATACCCCGTCCCCTAAATATTCCTCATCCATCCCGAGTCATAGATCTAATCATCCCACAGGACTCGCAAGGTGTTGTGAACAAGCCGTACCTACAGTGTGCAAGCACCAAAGTCTTACCTTCGGCGAAAGGCAATGGTCAACTACGGGCTTACTCACAAAGGGACGTCGCTAAACTGCACCAAGCGATGATTGACCTTTGCCGGATTCTCGAGAAGATCCTTCACTCACTGTAAGTGTGATCAGCGAAAGTCGGTATGACCAGGCTCTAACCCATCCCAGCTGGTCACCTAGGCCCCTCCTCCATGCCCATCAGAGGTCCGCCTTCTTCGATTCCTGCGTCCTCGAACTCAAAACATGGTACTATGATCTTCCCTCGGAAATCAAAATCGACCGATCATCCGGCCCATCCAAGTTCCCACACGCCTACACAATGCTCATGGTCTACCACACAATTTTCATCCTCCTCTGTGGCCCCTTCATGAACAAGCCCTCCTCCTCCTCCAACGCGAATACGCAAACAGATAACATGACCAGCACCAATCAAGGCGAATCCCAAGAAGAAAAACCGTCCCCCGACCACTCCCGAACCACCAAAGCCCTCGCAAGCTGCAGTTCCTCAATCCGCGCAATGTGCCTCATAATCCAAAAATACCGCCACACATTCGGCAGTTTCAAAATGAGTCCCATCACAGCAACATACTGCACTTTATCCGCGGCCTTAATTATAATCGAAAACTGCTGCACAATCGAAAACAAATCACCCAACACTACAAAGACCAATCCCAACCCCAATTCCAATTCAAATGCCAATTCCAGTCCCGACGCCTGCACTGCCGAAGAAGCCACAGGATCCAACCGCAATTTATCCCCACACGTAGCAGTGGGCCTGTGTATGCAAGTTCTACGAGAATTATCAACGTCCTGGAACATCGCCAAGCGAATCGGTCGGAATTTGGAAAAAGTTTACACCCAGCGCTTCGGCTCGGATCATGTTCCCTGCCCGCCGAAGGAATGTGATATGGCAGCCTATGAAGCGGCGACTCAACTCGTCGATGCGAATATACCCTTCGAAACGAATGTGCCTCCGTTGGATACCTTTGATCCCTTCTTTGATAATAAGAATGCCATGCATCTACAAAACCCCCTTTCTTTTCATCTTGAGCATCAACATCAACATCAACCGCTTCCCTCTGCCACCGAGGCACATTCTATTTATCTGAATCAGGATGAGAATACACCACCCGTTACTGGTTTTGATGCCGGTGTCGGTGTCGGTGTTGGCGTTAATGGTCCTGATTTCTCGAACTTGGTAAGCTCTGATGAGCTTTTTGCGCAGAATTTGGGATTTGCCTTTGAGCCGGATTGTTTGCCGAGTGATTATAATATGTTTGATACGTTGAATCAGATGTATTTAGAGGAGACGTGGTGATTTTGAATCTTTGATGATTGTGACGACGTTAGAATACATGGATTTTAATCTATAACAGAACCCTTTTTTCCCTTTCCCGATCTTCTAGATGTATATTTGTTATAATTTATACTTGAGCTTTTGGTTCACGCCGACCTGTGATTGAAATAATGAAAAAATCCAAATCCATCCTTATTGGGAGTTATTGATGATATCGTCTGCGATCTTCTCTGCTAACATGTCTGGCAAGGTCAGTATGATCAGTGCCCTGGGCGGGAAGAGAGCAGGATACATACAAACAGTTGACTGGGGATGACCCGGCGGCAAAATTGGGAACGCACTGGCGTCGACGACGCGCAGGTTCGGAAATCCGATGACTCGGGCCCGGTTGTCGACAACGGCTGAAGGGTCATCTGGGGTGCCCATTTTGCATGTGCAAGAGGCGTGGAAGATTGTCATCGCTGTTTTTCTGATGATACCGAGTAGCTCTGCATCGCTTTGATGCTTCATTCCAGGGAAATATTCTTGTCCCACAAGCACTTCTTTCATCGCGGGGTGTTGGAATGTATTTCGGACACGCCTGTATGCTGAAATTGCCAGTTGCTGATCCGCTTCCGTGCCCAACCAATTCGGATTAATGACTGGGAGGTCGGTCATGCTGGCGGAGCGAATTGTTACATTCCCCCTGGATGTTGGAGCAGTGAGTGATCCGATAATGGTACCGTACTGATTGGGCCATTCGGGCTGCTGATTGTAGGGGTCGGAAAAGTTTCCGACGAAGGCAGATGCTGCAAGGTACTAGTTTAAAGTTAGCCTAGAATACTTGAGTGATGGCAAGTATTGAACTTACCTCAACCTCGGGCCAGTCATCAGGAAACCAGGAGAGATCGCGCTCCGCCTCGACGGACAGACCGGCTCGCCATAGGGAGGGAATCTTTTCAAATGCCAGATAATCCGTTGATGGGTTTGTCAACATGCCATTGTGAAAGATACCGTAACTGGCAAGCTGCTCCGCAAACCAGAAAGTGCTTTGTGCCAACATGCTGAAAGTGCTGACTTTGACCTGGTAGGATGGTCCGAAGAAGACATGATCCCACATGTTCTGACCAACGCCCGGTATATTTGCAATCACTGGAATACCGTGCTCCTGAAGTGTCCTTGCGGGACCGATACCCGAAACCATCAAAAGCTGCGGGGACTGAAAAGCACCGGCGGAGATGATTACTTCTTTTCTTGCCTTGACGGTGAAGTCCCACCACTGACTGGCCCTCACACCGATGGCCCGCCTGTGCTCGTCAAACAAGATCCTCTTGGCTAAAGTATTTTGGTAAATAGTCATCTTCTCCACATGGTTATCGTACAACAGGAAGGCGGCCTCTGAACTGCTTCTAGTTTGATCATACGGGCGGATTGTCATCATGGTAAATTGATGGCCCATCAGTGTACCGCTGTTGAAGTCTTCTGCCTCTGGAATACCCATTGCCGTCAGACCCTTGTTGACCCATCTGGAGAAGGGCATTGCATATCGGGGGAACGAGACATGCAACGGCGAGCCACTCTCCCAGAAGGCAGACTTGTTGTAAGGAGTGTTCGCATTTCCTGACCGGGGATCCGGCTCCGTGAATCTTGCAGTCTTCTGGTAGAAAGGTAGTACGTTGTCAAATCGATAGCTGGGGTCATTGACAGCCTCTGCCCACTTATCCATCGCACCACGAGGGGGACTGTTTCCATTGTCAGCTTCTGTTCAGGGTGCAACAGGCGAGCACATACCGGTGGTAAATCATGTAATTGATGGCGGAGCTTGAGAGAACCCATTAGAAAATCTGGTGATCATGACCAAAGTCAACAGACGTACGATCCTCCCACACATTTCCCTCGGGCATAATGAATGTCACGACTGCTTGCACCCGGCACTCGCTCTGCGACGAATTTCCAATCAATGTTGGTTGCCGTTTTGGGATCGGCACCGATGCCAATGGAGGCAGCCCAGGCACACGAGAAGTCGGATGGGTGGACTCGTAATAGTCGCCTGCCTCAAGTAGAGCGACAGTGAAGCCTTTCTGAGCAAGACGGGAGCCAATGGTGATACCTGCAGTTCCACCACCGACCACAACGTAATCAAAGGTCGAGTCCCAGGGAGGCCATGTTCGGAAAGAGCTACGATATCGAGACTCGTTGGGAGACTGGGTGAGACCGAGGAGACCGGCGAACACCAGAAAGGTAGCCAAGCGAATAAGAACGGCGAAAATCATTGGAATGAAGTGGAGGGGTATTGAGCATTAAGAAGGGTACGATGAAAGAAGTTGAAGTGAGATTCAAGTCGGAAAGGCGAGTTTGTCCTGGAGGGTTCTTGACAGGGTAGGCGCGGTTGTGGTGGTGGATGGCTCCTTCTCAGCACGGACAGACGGAGTTTTATTTAGACAACATTGAGTAATACCAGTATAGTACAGAACAGTATACTATAGTATAGTACTACGGTAGTATACTAGTAGTATATTAACGGTAACTAATATATTACTTGATAGTAGGAAAAATATTAACGATATTTGGAATTAATTGGTAAGGTAGCTTCGAGGAAATAAGCGCTATCGGTAAGACTCGTAATACCCACACGCTCTGTATGACATGCCGTACCATTCGCATAGATTGAAACCACTACTAGTACTAGCACAATACTACTATATAGTACACTATTGAGGTTGGGGCTCTATGTAAAGCATTGGTACGTCCAAGGTTGATCTACAAGTGTTCGAGGCCTCAGGCTGCAAACCAATCCAATTTATGCACGTCGGATCCATCTGCACGAACTAGGTATCCCTGCATAAGACTTGCATGCATGCTTTAGAATACTCGTTCGTAGCCATGACAGGTCTAGTATATCTAATTGAGTTCCATCTTCCGGAGCAATTGTCTAGTACTAACTATTAGTAGCTACCTAGGTAGCAAACAGTCATTGGAGTCTGATTATACCTTTAACTAGCAAGGCTTCCCGAAGTAACCTAGAATAAATCACCAGAAGGCGGGCCTGAATTGAAACCCCAATCTTCGATATACGATTGATCCTTCAAGTGCCAGTGACCAAGTACATGAGAACCAAATGAATCAATGATCTTCATCGTCTTCCCGTGGTGGAGCGGGGTCAAAATGCCCCTCACCTACGTGGCTAGTGTTAAATCTCCTAACCTAGCCTATCTTTTTTCTTTGTCAATGATCGATCAATTTCTCCATCTTAACTTACCCCCTCAGATCAATTCTACTCAGCTATAATTGCAAGTCACAATGACGACGCCTCCTGCCGTACCTGTACAACTTCTCGTCTTCGCCAAGCGAAAGGAGGACCTCACAAAACAAGAATTTGACGACTACTGGCGGGGCCCTCACGCGAAGAAATTCCTCGAATTTAAAATTGTGAAGAAGCATTGTATTAGATATGAACAGGTATGCACCAGCTCCTCGAAAGGAAGTAAAATATTCACCCTTTCCCCAGTACCATGATGACCCCACCGCACGGGCTGATGGCGAGACCGCACTTGGACTGCCACATTCTGGATGGGATGGAGTCGCTTCGTTGACATTTGACTCCGCTGAAGGGGCTAAAGCGGTTTTCGGTGATCCTGAATTCCTTGATTGGGCAACGAACGATGAGCCGCGCTTCTGTGCTGGTCCAAATATCGCGCAGCGAATGATGCTCGTTGGCAACCCTGAGGTCATCTATAAAGCTTAGGATGCCATTGAAAGAATGATAGTGTATCCTTTTCAAGATTGGAACGTGGTTTGAATAATACGTTCTCTGAGACGTTAGATTTCTTGGGATCTGCATAGCCCTATTTTTATGAATACAGTAAAGCGATTGCAGATTCATCACAGACCACGAGCCTTTCTCCAGGAAACAGGGGTTTGAGGGTCCCATGTCCAATTCTTGCTCAAGAGCTCCTTTAAAGTTCCAAATGTTCGACGTGCAATGGATCTTTGAGCAACCTACTCGCGAGCCCTGAAAACCAGACAAAATTAGACGATGGTGCGCTCTTTCTCTTTTTCCTGCTTTTCGGAACAGAAAAAGAGAGATGGACTGAACACAATGAATGCCCCCACTGCTATGGCCATTGGCACCATGTCCAAAGCCACGAGATACCACTCAGTGCGCATCAAATGTCCCTTCCACCCTCCTGATAACTCGGCAATGCGGTATGCATTGCGAAGAAGTACCATCATTGTCGAACCCCACATAGCCACCATGACCGGCCACCCTGTAATCGATAATAGCCGGGTTCCCTTCGTGTGCAGCCTGAAAGCTGTTCCCAAAATCAATACCACAAATACAACGGTATTGCTGAACTGAAAAATGATGCCAGACCGCATTACGCTTGACCCGTGATTGAGCTGGTCATAATTCTGTGCGCTTGACACCAAGACTCCCCCTACAGTTTGAATGGCCAATGAGATGATATCCAGGATTATAAAACCAATCCAAAAGAACTTGGAAGGGATATGGAAGAGTCTGTCTCCGGTGATTTCCACACTGCCTCTGATTAGTGAGAGAATTCCATACTTTTTTCACAGTACTCACATTTTACAAAAAAGGACATAGTCTGCGGCGGAAATGAACACAGGGCTGACGATAAGACTGCAGATTTGGATCATGAACGGCATCCAGTTGGCTGGCTGAAATCTAGTTAGCAGCAAGTACTCACGCACAAGACGTTTAAATAACCTGGCATACCTCGTAATGAGCCCAAAGTCGCCCTCCCCATCCAATGGCCTCTCCCACAGCGGCGAGGGCAAGGGTTATCATCCAGTAGTGCTTATATTTTCCGAAGATAATTTGAATGATGCATGCAAGCATTAGAATGCCAAAGTAGACAGTCCCAAATAGAGCCGCTGGCTTGTTGGGTAGATAACCATAGAAATCAGTTGAGTCGGCCATTATGAGAACTTGAAAATAATCGACAATTTCGTTTAACCATTGTGATTGCCCAGGTGAGAAAGCCTGGCAAATATAGTATTAAAGTAAACGGTGCAACGGAGCTTTCTTCATCGGATCAGGCAGCCAGATTCAGGTTCTTCACCTAGGATATCTTTCTATTTGTTAATCCACGAGTGTTGGTAGAATGTCCGCGAAATGGCCGCGTTATACCCGCCAGTCATTTCCTAGTGCAAGTATACTGTTGCACAAGAGAGAAGATAGACCAATCAGCGTCATCAAACCCATGCACAATTAGTAAACATTTTTTTATGAATTTATGAATTTGACCGCTTTTAACCCAGCAACTCATCCAACCTGAGATTTCTACCGCGTAATCACCGCGAAAGTCCCGTCTCCAGAAATAGTATGTACTTTTCATCCTTAACTCAATTGCAATCGCCGTCAGACTCTGCCCCCAGCGTTCAAGATTGACGGAGAAAATTCGGGAATTCTAAAAATGCCAGTGCGACTCAAACGAGGACTGCCGCGAGAATCCTGCGACTTTTGCCACGGGCGAAAGATCAAATGCGATCGGCCACTGCGTGCAAAAGAAGGACTTACCTCCTGTTCACAGTGTGCCCTACGTCAAAGTCCTTGCCGTTTGGATGATCCGACGGAGACACGTACACGTTCGCGTGCTCGCGATATTGCCCGCGGAGGTAAGACGGGCATAGCTTTAGGCGATGGTGGCATAATACCGCGCGATGATACCTTTGCTTCAGCATCTCACCCCGAACCTCTCCAGACACGGGAAGATGACCAGCCAGATTTAATAAATGATCCCGATATTATGTTCGATGAGAACTTTCTTACTCTGAGCCGTGACAACATCTTCTTTCTGGATCAAGTTTTCATGGACGACAATGGAGGAGCAGAATGGCTTGCCGATGATCAGGGTGTTAATGCTACTACTGGTACTATTGATGAAAGCCTTTCCGGCCTGGGCGAACAACAAGCGCAGCACTCGACGGAAATACCGTCTTGTACAGACGGTGTTACAGATTCAAATGCCACTTTTACTACTGCAATAAATTGCTACTTCAAGTTTGCAGCCCCATGGTTGCCAATTCTCCTGGAAGACGCCTTCTGGGAGGACTACCGCAACGGACGGGCCAGCCATGTTCTCGCCTCAGCTGTAGCCTGTCGTGGTATGCCTTTCACCGCACTTTCCGACAAATGGAACCTTCAGCAGCGATTTGCTAGTGATTTCCGAGAGGCATATCTCAGTGCTCGGAGCACTGCTTCCGATGATGGTTCAATTAGACTCGATGATCTCGAAGCGCTGGCGCTCATGGTTAATTTCGAGTATGATGATACCGATACTCCGCCTCTTCATTTAAATCTGGGAAGATTATTTTTAAAGCATGAATCGCTGGTCTTGATGACGTTACAGTCGCGTATCCAGGATCGTGTTTCCTCGAGTTCTGACCCAATGGTGTCGTTGGCGAGAGCTCGGGAGCGACGCGTGCTTCTTTACTGGCACGTCTATGGCCTTGATGCGTTTCACTGCTTGGATCGAAAGCAGCTCTCTCTGATTCCCGACAGGACCACAAGTGAAAATGGCAATCTGCCTCCACATGAGGCTAGAGACTTTCTCGACGCTGTCCTTGAACTTGCAGTCATTGCCCGAAAGGTTTTGCAGCGACTGTGCAGTGAATTGGCAAAACGTTCTGGTGTTGAGCCCAACGATGTGGATGACCTATATGGACAAATCTATCACTGGAGGAATCACACTTGTCCTCCGCATTTACGGAGGCATGAAGAAAGTCTAGGGGTATTGGCGACTCATGATAATGACGAGGATTACCCGACTGGGATGCAGAGACACATTCAACTTCATCGGGCTGTGCTATGGGCATTAGAGATTAATTGTTTGATGCATGTTGAGTGCGCTGTATCTGACTTTGGCATCCGAGACAGTGGGAAATTGCGAGCAGACATAACTGCAGCACGTGTGAAATATGAATGCCTACGTGCTTTGAACGACACCATTTCCATATGTCACTGGATTGATCTGCACACCCTCAGCGACGAAGAGGGCAAGCAGCACTCTCTAGTTGATCTCGCGCCGTTGGCCTTGCGCAATGTTTGTGCCGGGCTATGTTATTGGTCATGTCAAAATTTGAAGGACACAAATTCAACTCAAATATCCAAAACGCCTGCCCTTTTGGACAGGAGGGAAACCCGAATCGATGGAAGGAATAACATAATAGACGACCGCATACAGAATGCAAAGCTATTGCGAGATACAGCTGCAAAGGCAACATCCCACAGAGACACGGCCGATATCGTCGAGCGACTCGACAAACAAATCGCCATGTTCAAGGCAAAGTTGAGTAATGCCTCAGGAGATAATTGATTAAGATTCCACGCCTGCCTCGCTGCTTATATTAACTACTTATGGATAGTCTTTCACAATATTATGAGTGGAATTTGCTATTAAGAATAGAATACTTTAAAACACATAGGCTCTCCTTGGGCATACAGATAATACTAGTACATACTAAGCGATAGCTGTACACGGCAAGAACTTCATAGGGACCAGGTCTTGGGACATATGCAACCCGTATTCTTCACACATTCTCCACACATTCTCCCCGCATTATTCTCTCACCGGATCGAATAAGATCTCAATGTATGATTTGCCCCCCCCATATCTCTTGCGATTAAGGGAGTGATTGTACAGTGCTGTAGAACTACGCCAGATGCCAAATTCATGCCGGTACGGTTCTCGTATCTGATCGTATGAATATCCCTGTCCCACGTAGTCGGAAATGAACTTGGAACCCTCCTGTCTCTCCTTCGGAGTTCTCTTGATGCGGCACCCGGCGGTTGAAACTGGGGTGGGGGGTCTTTCTGGGATGACTGAGTCCTGGGTGAGAGAGGTAGATGCTCCAGGGGAGGGCATGATGGCAGAACCGGTGGATGGTTCCTTCATGGTGCCGCTTTCGGTCGGTGTCGATGTTGGGGATTCTGCTCCTGTCGCGTTTGGGCTGAAAGTGCATAGCCCGTCGAAAGTCTCCGATTCTTCGGCATTGAAAGGGATTTGGACTTCATTTGTGCTGAGGTGGCTTTGCGATGACTTTGGACGAAGCAAGGGTGACTGTATGCGAGGTTTCTTATTTGCATTATCTGGCTCTGAGATGAAATGTCAGTTAGAATATCGCCGTGCTGCAGATCCTCATACTTACTCGAATCTTCATATTCTCTTTTCATGAGTGAAAAGCCCTTCGGATACAACCCGGCCTCGCCATTAAGATATTCTTTGATCTCTTCTTCGCGGTGTTGCAAATCGACCTCGAGTTCTAAGAACTTCTCGAGCGCTTCAATATTTGTCAGTATCGGGCGAAAAAGGAGGTATCTCCTGGAAAAGGAACCGAAACATACCTGGCTTAAAAAACTCGACGATCTCTCTCTTCTTTTCGGTCGCATACAATTCATCCTGCCAATCCGAGCGGGTCGGTATCTCACAGCTGCAGTACCCTTCCAGACACTTGTATTCATCCCTAGTGACTGTCGCGATGTAGTCACCCAAACGACCCTTGTAGTGAGCGGGGCCAATTCCACATGGACAGCGTTTGAAAACACCGCGTCGGAGGCCGATGATTGTTCGAATCCAGTTTGGGCGCTCACCAGGACTCTCTTTATTCATCTCAACGGGGACGACTGCTGCGCCATCCTTTTTGGTGTTAAAGCTGATTGCCTTGTTTGCCCAACTTCCCCAGGTATCGGCAGCGGGGTCTTGGAGAACAAAGCTCTTCTTCTCTTCGACGATGATCTGGCTCTCGTCGATAAATTGGCAAATTGTCTGAAGGGCTCTCTCGATGGTGTCTGGACTGCTGATACTGGACTTCTTGGGCGGGACGAACAAATCCCAGTCGGATGTTCTGAGTCGTGATGCACAGTCGAGCGAAATACTCCGTCCAATTAGGCTCGGTGGGTGTGGTTGCTGGCTGCTTGTCATTTCGTCGCTATCAGGAATAACGGTCTCCATTTTTCCTGCTGGATCGAACTGGTGTGATAAAGTGAGGTAAGGAATGAAATCGTGGTTGTCGGGAGTGGAAGAGAGAGGGTTTCGTTGCAAGCTTCACATTATTCATCTCATGTTGAGCGTCGAGGGAAGTGGTTAGCGGGGAGTGGGAAATGGGAAAATCAACAGAAGTGAGAGTTGATGTTGATGGGTACCTGCAGGTGTTGAGGTTCACCTGAAGTTGTACATTCACTGCCGTTTGACCAGGTGACCCGCCATGTTAGTAGTAGTAGTAGTATGCGCAGGACTTGGATAGACATGGATGACTATACATCATGATAGTCGCAATCGACCCAGTGTTTCTACTAGTATCACCCAATAGCAATTTAGAGTGAGGGCTAATTTGGGTAGTGTGAGTACCAAATATATGACTGGGTAGGATGCCAAGTACTGAATAGTAGTAGTGGGTTATCGATCTGCAGTATAACTGCCTCGTGCAACTTGAAGTACTTGGATACCTGCAACTTGGGAGAAATGATCAATACATCATGATTATCTCGAGCTCGAAAGTACATATGCAAAAAGCAAAAGGATTATGTTTGACAACACCAAGCCCAAAACATCGCAACCAGGATCGACAGCATTCAAATCTCCGAGTCCTATCTGTCATGACTCGACTTCAATCACTACGCCTCTTGATCCACTGGCAAATTATTGGTATTATTTTCACGTCTACATTGGTATTTGGACTATTTACCAAATATTTCCATGTTTGCTCTGCCAACAAAGAAAGTCAATAGGTCCAAAATGGAGGAGCCAATGAGCATTCCAGCCTCCACACTAGTTACTACATGGGAATAGCAAACCCTGTTGGTTGTAACCAATCAGAAAACTAGAATTGGGTCGAATCCTGGCAGATTTGACAGGTGATAAGGTGCAAACGAATATCCACCGTGAGATCTGTGTGCTAAACCGTTCAGCTTGTACCGCCACTTAGTTTTTCTTTGTTCACTGTAGAATTACAAGATCCGTCCACGGGTGTTGGCAAGCTTGTAAACAAACATACCCCCTGGAAGGTTTCAGGTAAATTTTCGTTTTTATCCCCTAGTCCTTGCCGTTGGATTCATATTGCCCTTTTCTATCTCTCCTGCCATCCTCAGTGCCAAATTTTGAACCGTCTTGCAATTTTAATTCCTCCCCATGCAGACCGACCAGCTCGAAGACCGCAAGCCCGTGCTGGACAGGAATGGTAATATCACTAGTACAAACGGTACACACACCATCTCAGACCAAAAGAATACCCCCTTAGCTTGAGATGGCCTGACCCGGTTGTGCGGCACACAGAGATCATAGACCTAACTACTCCTCCTCCCTCAGACAACTGCCCTCCCGCAATACCGATCCCTCGACCAAACACCGAAGCAACCGACGAGATGCAACAAGATGAAAGCCAATTGAGGACGGAGCTTACTGATGCTATTGATGGATCTTCTTGCATTTCCGAGCCCGTGCCACGAGGATGTGATTGTGATTTGTTCCACGAGCGGAAACCAGTACTGTGAGCAGGGCAGACTTGCTCGGTTTCTTTCGGGGCATCTGCACCTTTATGAAGGAATTTCAACCCGTCATCCAGCAGAAGGGTAGTTTTATCCTGCAAGATCGGATGAAGGATACGTGGGGACGATGGTCAACAAAGTACTGGCCCAAGTCTTTGGAAAGGAAGGCCCACATGCCTACCACTGGGACAAGGATAGCGACGCTGAACCTCCGAATTGGACGCAGACGATCTTGGCTCGGGGATCTGATAAGTTCGGACGTCCTCAAGGGGAGAATGGCGGAAATCATTACAAGGGGTATGTGGGGGCATACAGAGTCACCTTAACCGACGCGGAGTACAGACGCTTGGAAGGATATTGTACCAGTGAGATTCCGACTCAGTCAGATTGGTCTTGCGAGCTGAAAGAATCGGAGGGAATCTTAAATGACTTTGCTGATGGAATGCGATGTATGTATGCTCATCTGATTCAAACTCCTCTGGTCCTAACCGCCTGTGAAGCCATAGGGACTCTCGACAGTTCCGAGCTGCCCTGAAAATACGGAATAAAGAAATCAAAGAAAATATGAAGCCCGAAATAGGATCTTTATTCCCGAAAGGATCTTTGCCCCCAAAGCGAGCCTTCGAATACAACGGTAAGTACCATGGCATGGAAATTGATGGTGCTCACTTCATATACAACTCACATTGAGGCATACCTGGCCTAATCTAATTAAAGAGGCCGGTCAGGAAACTGAAGAGACTCGACGACGAGCGGCACGAACAAGAATTTCGCGAGCTGGAGAGCCTCGTGTTGGAATTTCAGCTGATCGTGGAAGTGACAATGAAACTTCAGGATTGCATGATGGCGAAAAGGACGATGATACCTACAGACCATTTGAATACGGTCCAGGTCCAGTTTTGACACCACAATCGGAACCATGAATGACCCTTGGCAGAGCTATTGAAGAGAGGACACCTGTTTTATACAACTTCCCAATGGTTGAAGAGCCAACGACTGAAGAGTCTTCATTGCCCCAAGAACGTTTGCCAAGCGAAGCTCCATCAACGGACAATCTCAATGCCCCGAGAGGCTCTATCCCAAGGTCTACCAAGGCACACAAGGTCAAGAGATCGCCGCGCGAGTTTAAATTTGGCGCGGCCTTTATTGACGACCTTCTGAAGAACTTCCAGCATTTGAAGGAAGAAGAGCGATGGGAGAAGGTTATCCCACTTTATGCGAAACCGTTTAGGGTTCTGCGCAATGTGTCAGGATTGCAAGGCATACATCGCCCCTTCAGGGTGCAGAAAGAGCTGGGAGACTGCTCAGGTCCTCCCAGCTCTCCAAAGCAGTCAAATTTATGAGATATTCTGACGAGATTCATTGCTCAGGAGGTGTTCTTATAGTATATTTTCAAAAAAAAGCCCCCAAGCAATCGGAGATGTTGATGATCACCATCGATTCGGATGTAATAGGCACAAAACGATCCTTTACGCGGACGAAATTATCGGCCAAGATAGTCACCGTAGATTGTATCTCCGAAAAGGCCACCATAACTCCGGCCCCATTCCTCAAGATGTAGAGAAGTACTAACCAACAGTCTTATTGGTTTCTTATAGCGCTTGGATTCACAAACTGATCAACCTGATAAAGTGTAGCAGATATTAAAACGGATGTACCGCATTTCCATTCTTACTTCATTTGACAAATTATTGGATGCTCGACCAATGCTGTATATTCATCATGATCTAGAAATAAAGTTAATAGCTTCTGTGGCTATATCACCAGGCTAACTGGGTTGCCAAGCTCTAGAACGAGCAACAAAGGCGATCCAATCAACTCACACCAAGAACAAATTCCTTCTGGATCCTTCAATAAATTTCCCCAACCCAGATCGTCAACTTTTGTTTACAAATTTCTAAATATCTATTTTCTTCTTTGCTCGACCGAGATTGGGACTTTCGGGAATACATCGTCCTAGACTCGGAGCTGTCAAATCAGTATAGAAAAAGGAATACAACCGAGGGAATATAGTAGTAAAATGCCAAATACTGGAATACTGGAGTCAGGACTGCAGATATGCAGGTACGATTAACAATAGAGCAAAAAGAAGCTGTGTAATGATAAAATCTAACAGAAAGAATAAGCCAACCGCCAGCAGGCGCCATCAACAGCAACTGACAGATTCTATTCCATCTCACCAAATTGTATGTTCCAAACACGATACGCAAACTCGATCAAATCCTGGGTTCGGATGACGAGGTCTTTGTCTTCGTTTGATTGGCGGGGGCGACGGAAGATTTGATGGAAGGGGATTATTATGGTCGGGTCATGAATGTTAGGCCCGAAATTGATCTTTCTGCTGGATCTCTTGATGACCATGTGTTTTGTGGTCTTGGGTCGGCAAGTGGTGGGATCCCACTCCCATGTGTCAATTGTGATCTCAGGCTTCTTGACATTGAGATTCATTCCGATGGCCACGTTGGCCTTGTATCTCGCAGGGTCTAACCACCAGTGCGAACTCCGTCTTGTCTTGGCGGGGCTGTCGGAGTATCCAACCTCCAGTACAACTGATGGTGTTTTGGGAGAACCTGGGGGAGGTCTAAAGGGACCCCACGCCCCATCTGCTTCCTTCGTTTTGCCATCTGGAGCAGTCATAGTGGCACTTCCCCAGAAGCCAAGGTATTTTCTGAGACCCGCATTTTCCATACTCGACTGCATAATCAAGTCAAATTCCCGGATGGCACTTTCGTGGGCAGGGACTGGCATTTTGGCGATAAGAATATGTGTAAAAGGGTTATACGATAAACGAGTGTGCCGTATAGTTTCTCTGCAGAGGAATTCCGTTTCGAATGAGCGTGGATCAACAATAAAAATAATGTATTGGCTCCCTGGTTCGTACTGCAGAGATTCTCTGTTGTGTTGACTTCCATCTGAGCTTTGTTGACAGGTCCTATTGTTTAGAGGCTGACTATGCCGGCAGGGACGACCACCAGCATCCTCCTCATGGGAATCTAGATGAGGTATAGCACCATCATCACCACCACCATTATCATCATTACAGCCTGCCCATTTAGAATCTCCTCTTTGCAAGCTGAAAGTTCCAAGAGACGCGTAAAGACGAGTGATGTGGCAATCCATGATTTGAGAAAAGTCATCCATACCCTCGTAGTTATAAACCCTGACCGAAGGGGGTAATCCCTCAACAGATATTTCGTCAGATAGGGCATCATTCATCATATCCGTATTGCTTCTCATTTGACTCTCATGTAGTGAAAGAGCGCTGAATATCCCTGGAGGTCGATGAGATATTCCGCTGGGCGGGATTGGTGGTTCAGAAAACTACGTCATTGTGATTAAACACTCCGGCCTTTTTAACCACAATCAACCGAGTAGCACTGGGTACGGTAGACGAGGCGTCTTGGCAATCCAATAATGACTGAGAGTAATAGTCGTGGCGTTCCGAGCGTACTGGCCACATAGAATTAACGTCCATATCGAATTATTTTGCAATTCCACCTATTTTGCACGCTTACCATCCACCACTATGCCTAAATTTGATGAAATTCGCGAATCTCGTGTAATTAAAGCTTGCGCAGCCGCTCGTGCTGTTAAAAAACCCAATATCAAGTGTATTGCACGCGAATTTGACGTGCCTTATGGGGTGCTCCACGGGCGTATCAAATACGGAAGAACGTTACTTTGTGGCCGCAATCCTACCAATATAGCGTTGACGAAGGCTTAGTATCGTGTATTGCAGGACTGGATTGACTATATGCAGTGTCATTATATGTTATTAATACCTGCAATAGTAGAAGTATACACCAATTGCTTAATTACGTATGCTGAAAAACCTCAATCACCAGTTTCGCATATATAGGTATATCGTTTTATAGAACAGTTATTACTATATAAAAGACTTGCCCTAGTACGATAAAAAGTTAAGGATATCAAGTATATTAGTACTAAAGGAGCTAGAGCTCTTGAACTGTAGTATAACAATCTTATAAGGGTTACCAAAACCCTTCCGCTGTACTTGGTATATAACTTTGATGAATATAGTTTATAATCTGGTAAGGAAAAGTCTCAGAATATCATAAGTGGTATAGAATACCGTTCAGATCTGCCTGAAGTAGAGTATTCAGAAAATATTATAGTACTTAAATGTATTACTATAGATGGCTCTTTGATTCCTCTACTCTATATTTTTAAAGGATTAACTTTCTAGGAAAATTAATTTTATATATTGTAGTGGGGATTCCTGCTCTCAACGTTGGTATCTCAGAGTTAGTTAGTTAAGTTATGTGATTAGGGCCTTAGCAATAAGGCTGCTATTTAGTTCAAGGAGGATAAATAGTTTCGTTCTAGATTATCAATTCAATATGTATGTTCCCCCTTATAAAAATATTCTACTGAGGCTACTGAGGTTGCGGTATCGGTATACTGCTTATGAAAGGTTCTGTTATTCGTTCTGGTATTCGTTCTGTTAATTCTCTATAGCGTCACGCTTACCTATTGTCTCCTTACACTCTGTAAGTGTAGTGGTGTTATCTCTTCGCAATCGACCCGTCTGCCAACACAGACAGCCTACAAGCATTGCCATCTTTTATATAGCGTCCCCTGGAAGGCTTGATTAACAAAAGAATAGCTGAGAACGAGAATAATACCAGTGTAAGAGTAGCTATAGCGTTTAACCCTGAGAAAATACGACAATCAGATACACTATAAAAGGTAGAGAGTAGCTTAATCCTAGGTAGGATCAGCCAATTAAATATTCGAAATATCAGCTAAAAAGAATATCGGAGTATCCCGTTCTGCTGAGTATATGTAGTTTCTATAATCAACACTTGCTAATTAGCATACTAGAGATGCTATAGCACTAGAAGGATTTTTATAAATAATACTAAGATAATTATATAAGATAGCGGTTTAGAGATACCCTAGCATTAGCTATGCCTGGCATTCAGTACTGTCTAATATTCTGTTATCATTTATATTACGTTATTTACTAGGGAATATAGGTAGCTCTTCGTTAGGAATCAAAGGGTTAGTTTCTTCTGAATTATTACTGAACAGATTGCTATCAGAACAGTATCCACCGTCAACTGCTATATCGTTATTGTTATTACTATAGAGTACTAAGTCTCCTATTCCCTATTCTGTATCTTCTTTATCATCATTATCTATTTCTGTTTCTGCTTCTGAATTATCCTATTAGACTGAGTTATTTTCTAATATTATATCTGTTTATTCTTCTTGTTCTTCTATATCTAGTTTTCCTATAGGAAAATAATCTTCTGAAACTATAGCTATTAATAACAGTAGAAGTAATAGTAAACCTTCTAGTAATATAGCTATACCTATTACCGCTACAGAACAGTTTACTTAGTTTTATAAACTGCTTCCTAAAGCTTCTAGATCAATAATTAGAGAACTCTCTCGTCCTATCAGTCCTAAAACCGCTATGAGACTGCCTCCTTAGTCTCCTCCTCCTCCTCTGCTGATAATGCTATTGTAAGATCCTATACTGCCTAATATTGATAAATATAAACCACTGCCTCTGTTACCTTCTTCTAGACCTAGTATTGCTCAGGACAAACTATTACAGTATACAGAACCTATATCTAAGTCTCCACTACCACTACTACAAAATAAATATCTACAGTAACCTCTATATATACCACAATATACAATATCTTACTCCCCTCCTCTACTGCTAGTACTAATACCTATAATAAGTCTGATACCTATTCTAGATACACTAGGTACTCCTATCTTTAATAAGGCTAATATATCCGAATTTCTAAGGAAGCTAGAGAATATATATAAGCAAAGCAGAATTAATTCCAATCATACGATTATTATAGACCTACTCTTATAGTATTACTTATAAGCTATACGCAGATAGGTTGAAAGTCATAATACGTAGAAGAACAGAGATTAGCTAATATTTCAAAAGGAATTCTTAGAGCATTACTATAACTGGGATAACGAATAATTAAGATATAATAGGAGATATCTTAACAAGCTCGCTAATAACGCTTAATCAACAAATAATAAAATCAGACACTATCTTGCGCCAAGCTGGGCTTGGATGACAACCTAAGCTCGATTACCAAATGCAAAAAAAGTAAGATCATCACTAACTATCCAGTAGCTAACGTGTTTCATGGGTAATCCGGCCACCCGAGCTGGCCGGCCACCCAAAACACCATATTAAAAGCGATAAATTACAATTTGATAGCTCAACAACCATAGTAATTCAAAGCTAAATATTGAAGTTCTATAACCTCTATCATACCCTTGTCACAAAAACCGAAGGAAAAAATAGTCTGGATATATATATCTCGCGAAATATCTCCTTTTTGACAAAATACACAAATTACAGTGTATTTAATGGTAATCTGATAAATAAATCAATAATATTAATTAAAACTGAGATATATTGCTCTATACCTTGCAATAGAAATATCTGATAAAATATAGACCGAAAAAAGGTATGGTTGTTGAGATATCGAATTATAATTTATCGCTTTTAATATGGTGCTTTGGGTGGCCGGCCAGCTCGGGTGGCCGGATTACCCATGAAAAACGTTATTACGTGATGACGCGCTAAGGCTTTGAATGACAGGCTTTGTCGAGTGTTTACGTTAGCATTATCGATCTACTCGAATGCTGGGAGACTCAGGAAAAGCCTCGCATTTTCCGCAACAGGAAGAAGCTCTCCAAATACATCAAGGCTGGCAAAATGTTCCACCGCGACATCGCCAAGCAGGACAAGGTCCTCCGTGTTCTGCTCAAGAAGCTCGTTTGAGCCGGGCACCAGCCCAACCAGCCAGGCAGAGCCCAATAAGCCTTCGACATTCTAGGCCGCTGACCGGGAGCGACAAATTCATGTGTTCGTACGACAAAATAATCTAGGTGGTTCGCGCGAGAGTTGCCCGGGTGGGTAGGGGAGGTTCAAGCCTTCCCCGGGGCCGGATACCCCGATAGCGCAACCTGCAGTTTTCAAAAATCTAGCGATTTCCTTTTTTTTATTTGCCGGTAAATACTTTACTCACATTCGTATGGTCGTATCTTAATTCAAAAGGTTCATTCTTTGATTTCTATGAGGCCGTAAGTTCCAAAATCGCAATCATGATAAAGACAGTTCAATCCCATCTTGTTGTATAATATCAAGCCAGTCAACACGCACGGACGAGCTAGATGATTTCCGCGCAATTCTTAAGCGCCACAGTTTCTCCAAGACTGATAACGCCACTTGCACATTTCTAAATCCCCGTGACTCAATCATATCGAGCATTCTATCCCTAATGATCTTGATATGTGATTCGTCCGTTGCCTCCCCTCCAGCGAGGAATATCGGGAAGAGCAATGTGCATTCAGGCAAACTTCGAGTTGGCATTTGCTCGATACTTTCGACGATAGCCGCAGCTTGGGCTGTTGCTTTTGATGAGAGACCTTCTGCTTGGGTGGGAACGCTCTCCGTTGCGAGCGGTAGAGGTGTATGAGTGCCGAACTTCGGTAAGTCTCCGCTAATAATCTCAATGATGTATCTGCGGATGCGGGACATGCCCAAAGATCCAGTCTGGCTTCGAGTGACAGAAATCTGGTCAGGATTTCAGCTCGTTCGAATTCCTCGTGAACACTATTTGTGTGATGATCGAATGCGAAGTTGTTGTCGGTCACGGTTTGGACTCCCAAGGTAATGTTCTTAATATCTTCATTCAGTGCAGTTATTTCCGAAATGATTTCGAGAATCTCCGACGCAAGACCGAAATGCGAGTCTGGCAGTCTAGGCTCATCGAGTCGAAGGAAATGATGCGAACTCAAGAGCGGTGCTTGGTCTCGCGCGACGGCCATGACAATATCCCGATAGGCAAAGTTCCGAAGCAGCCAGCGTCCCGAATGCGCATCCTCGAATGGTTTCAGTAACTCAGTTGTGGATGAACCTTTAAGGACTGCTGTGGATGTGTTGGCCGAGATAACCCCGGCAGCGCCGACTAGATGCTGATACCAGGCGGCTCCGTTATCTGACATGATGCTCTCCAATGAGCACAGGACCAAGGACATGGCGAGATTGGCCTCAATATTTGTGGGGTCTGATTCGAGGGCACCGCGGAGACCACTCAGTGCTCCACATCGGTTCTGAATTGCCACTTGCTGAAAGGAGTGGTCCCTCAGTGATAGGTGTGCGGAGGACCACGCGATCAGCGTGTTTAGCAAGGGTGGGCTGTGCATGGCCATGGGCAGAAATACTAGGTTTTGCATTAGGAACTGGCACCACCAGAGATGGACTGCTGATCACTCACCAGATAAGAAAGAATTGTTCTCAATGTTGGTCGTTAGAAGATGCGTGAAGGTCTGTGTGTAATATCGGAGGAAGTGCCGGCGGCTCGACGGGGACGTGCAATCGGCATGTTCATCAACCCAGAATAAAACGGGATCTGGGTTATTGAACAGTCGAAACGGGCTGTTTGATTCGTCCTCAGCTGGCACCACCGACTTTACGCTCTGCTTATCTTGAGCAACGGATCTCGGCTCTTCCCATTTGCACTTATAGTTCAATCGAACGCATTCTCTGCACACAGGATAACCTAGATCACATCGTTTTTTCCTAAACGGCAAGTTAGACACATTCGCACGTTCCACTCGATTCCACTGGGGTAAATACCGTTGACGACATGTCAGACACCCCGTCCGTTCTCGGGTGGTCCCTCGCTTCTTGATGACCCGCCGCGGCACGGGCGGCCGAAGAGATGATACTTCTTGCTCCGACATGACTATTCACACCACACAGGCCAGGTTCGAGAGAGCTCGAGGCCGAGTCAGGGAGATCAAATACCAGGCTGGCGCTAACAGCGGAGATATGCATCGAGAGCATCATGGGGATAGACAAGAGTCACACCTTATCAACCCCGTGCGGGGAGAGCGGTATTTGCCGCTTAATCTTTTGTGTGGAGACCAATCGGAGGTCGAGCGCTAACAGCGCAGAGGATTCATCCAATGAGAAGACATGATTGGAGATACTTTCCTTCATCCTCCCCGGATCTCGCATCTTCTGTGTGGATTTTGTGGGTTTTCTGCCAAGCTGCTTATCTTGTCACCAGGGTACGAAGTGCTCACCAGGGGCCTTGGGGAGACAGGTCAGCCATGGCTGTCGTCAATTCTGATCTATTTATGAGCTATGGCCCCGGAAATGATTTGACCTGGACGCAACTTCAGAAGCGTCTGCGAAATTTCCAATATGCACCAATTCGAAGATGACCGGGAGCTTGAGGCTCGTGGCTACAAGCGTGAAATGCCGAGACAGTTCTCGGTATTCAGTCTAGTTGCGCTCTCGTTTAGTCTGACATGCACCTGGTCCGGGACTGGATCGTCAATGGGCATTTCAATTAAAGAAGCATCAGCAGCAGGGACACTATGGTCGATTCCGGTAGCGGCCCTCATGACATTCATTTTGTCAGCTGGAGTTGCAGAGCTGGCTTCCGCGTATCCTGTCGCTGGCGCTCAATACTATTGGGCATTTTTCCTTGCTTCGGACAATTATCGAGCCTTTGCCTCATATATGTGAGAAATCCCGGTCTCCTGAATCAACGTGAAGCTAATCGGTACGCAGGAATGGTTGGCTGAGCATTCTTGGATGGTGGCTGGCCAGTGCAGCAGCGTGCAATTTCATAGCATCTTTGATTTTATCAATTGCCTACCTGTGGTACCCAGAGTATCAAAGCCAGAACTGGCACGAATGGCTGGTCTATCTCGGCATTGTCTGGCTTGCTGTGGCATTGAACACTTTTGGCTCCCAGCTTCTCCCATTGTTCAACCGCTTCAACTGTAAGCAACAATTCTTCTCTCTATAACTCACACCTCGCTAATCAATTGCAAACAGTCATCCTCGCATTCTCTACTCTGACCGCCACAACAATAACTCTGTTCGTCTGTAGCAGAAATAACCATGCCCCAGCTGAATGGACATTTGCCGACACAACAAATGAAACGGGCTGGCCTAGCAATGGCTTTGCTTTCATGCTTGCTGTCAGCAACGCCGTCTACGCATTCCTCGGTACTGACTGTGGAGCCCATCTATGTGAAGAGATTCGTAATCCCGCTCAAAATGCACCCAAGATTATCTTGTATCCTATCCTGATTGGACTGATAACCGCATTTCCTTTTGCATGTGCTTGCATGAATGCGATCACTGATGTCGATGCTGTGTTGAATACTCCATCTGGCCTCCCTTTGATTGAAATTTACTATCAAAGTACACAGTCGAAGAGTGCCTCTTCTGTTCTCCTGGCAACTTTCGCAATCTGTTTCTTCGGTTGCAGTGTCGCTAATGGTTAGCTAACTGCCCCTCCCTTTCTCTTTCGACAGCAAGACTAATCAAATACAATCAGGCACCACCTGTTCGAGGACCCTCTGGGCAGTTTCTCGCGACAACATGCTACCATTTAGTAAAATCTGGTCGAAGATTGACCCCACCTTCCAGATACCACTCAACGCGCTGCTGCTTTCTGGCACTGTTATCTCGGTATGAAATCTCCTACGAAATGGTTTGTTTTTTTTGATATCACCTAATCCGGTTCACTTCTCAGCTCTACGGCCTCATCTTCTTAGGTTCCTCGACTGCCTTCTCAGCCATGGTTGGCGCAGCTGTTATCTTTTTGCAGACATCTTGCGCTCTTCCACAAGCAATTCTGCTATGGCGAGGTAGAGATAATGTCCTTCCTGAAAGACCCTTCTCTCTAGGGCGATTTGGTCCAGTCGTCAATTTCCTGGCAGTCGCCTGGGTTATTTTCCTTGATGTTATTTCCTGCATCCCGACGGAGCTGCCAGTGACTAAAGAGAACATGAACTATATCTCGGTTGTTTCCATTGGTCTCACCAGTATCGTGCTTCTTATCTATGTCTTCAGCAAGAAAGGGAAGTACCTTGGACCTAGAATGCCGAGTGAAGAAATCGGCTTAGATGGCGATGCCATCGCAGGAAAGGAAGGTCAGGAATTTGGCGAGTACGAGACGACTGATTGCGATAAAGATCCTGCCTCGTTTAACAAAGAATAAACTTTAGATAGCCAATTAGATTTAGGGATTAGCTCTAGTGTGAGCGGAGAAAATGTGTGCCATTCTTTAGTCAGTAGAACAGTAACCTCAAAGTAAAGAGACGCGGGATCCCGGTGATTCGTGGACTTTGCCTAGATGCCGATTTCTTCTCAGACCTCAGAATATTCTCTGGTACTGCATGGATCATATCAGTGCCTATTAGTTAGTGCCTACGCGCTCCTTTACATCTTGGAGCTAGATGGATGGTGGCCCGAAAGGTACGCAAATGTTCGTGTCTGGTGGAGATGTATCCAACCTATGGAAATAATGAAAGCGAGAAAGAGATTTATCCCAAGAGTTTTAATGGTTCGAAATTTGATGTTCTCATTTCCACTATTTACACATTGCAATTACCTCACAAACTGGTCCGCAAATGCAGCACCTAGCCCAACCTCCTCGTAATGCTTTCTTGCTGCCTGCAGCTTGCTAAAAACATCTTCGATACCAAGCGCTACTCCATCGCGATCGACGTAGATGTACGCGCCCGTCACATGGAAAAGAGTGACCATCTCAGTCACACCTTCTGGTACCTCCACTGAAACATTACTCAGCAAGATTTTCCCAGATGCCTTAAAGAGCTTATGACTTACGGGTATGGATATCACCAGGAGGCTCAAAGGCATAACCGCCCTCCTCAGCCCACCAATCGTGTTCGAGATAATGCCAGCGGCCCCGTAGCACTGTGGCATGTACGGGGCCTGTATGTCGGTGGCGGGAAAGAATGCCACTCTTTCGAACGCGCAGAATGTTGACAAAATAGCCTTGCGACACATTGAAACAGAGCGGTCGGAACCAGACATCCTTGGCTTGGGGAACCCATAAGCGCTCGTCGCATTCTCAGGTCGAGAACGCCCGTCACCACCAGGTCTTCTGGGACATTTGGTAGCTTGGGGCCGCGGTATGCCTCTGTAGAGCCGTCGCCCTTTTCCATATTGTTTGATGTTTCTGATCCATTTTCAGTATATGGGTTTACTCTTGTATGTTCGGACTTCATACCGGTCATTGCTTTCGTGATTGTTGAAGATAAAACGTATCGTGACGGGAGAAAGCCATCACCGGCATCCCTTCATTTATATTCGCCTGTCCGGCCATCCCCGGATCATTTCCAACGGGCGTCATGAGCGTCAAGGGCGGCGAACCCGATCGATTCGGAAGTAATTCTGGTCCTTGGGACGTTGTTGGAGAAAAGTCACCTTCCCCACCGCGTACCCACGCGCCCGGCGTCAAGGGCGGCTCGGCTTCTCCGCATCATGTCGGCGACTAGTAGGAACCAGAGAAATGTCGCGATATAAGAGTCCCTTGAGATACCAAATTCTGCAATCGATTGATAAGTGATAAGTTTTGAGCCATCCCTTCATCATCATGTCTACCGACGAATTTGTTGCTCGTTCTCACATCCTTCATCGGACTTTCTCTGAGAGACCCTCGAAAATCGTCAAAGGCGATGGAATTAGCCTGATTCTCGAGAATGGCAAAAGAGTAATTGATGCAAGCTGCGGTCCGTCCGTATCGTGCCTTGGTCATTCACAGCCGGAGGTTTTCGAGGCCATCACCAACCATCTCCGCGACGACATCGCTTACGTTTATTCGGGCTCCCCGTACACAAATGCCGCTACCGAGGAATTAGCTGACATTCTACTCGCTGATAAGCCTGGTGGCTTGTCAAAGGCTATCTTTGTCAACTCTGGCAGTGAAGCTACCGACGCTGCATTGAAACTCGCAGTGCAGTATTGGCATGAGAGAGGCCAACCAAAGCGAACTCATTTCATTGGGCGGAAACAGAGCTATCACGGCAATACCATTGGTGCTCTGTGTGTTTCCGGTCATGAGTCGCGCAGGGAGTTTTATCAAGATTTCATGTCATCGAATGTTTCGTTTGTTGATCCTTGCTACGCATATCGGATGAAGAATGCCAATGAGTCGGATGAGGCTTTTGTTCAACGGCTAGCGCAGCAATTTGAAAACGAGATCTTGAGAGTCGGTCCGAATCGTGTTGCTGGGTTCATTGCCGAAACTGTCAGTGGCACAACTCTGGGCTGCTTACCGGCAGTTCCTGGGTATTTCAAAGCTATTCGAGAAATATGTGATAAATACGAGGTTCTGTTGATTTTGGATGAGGTACGTGTTCATTTTCCCTCCTCGTCCACTGCGTACGTGATAACTGGAGTGATTTTGTAGCTGACCTACGACAGATCATTTGTGGAATGGGCAAAACTGGCACCATGCATGCGTGGGAGCAAGAAGGGATTCGAGGCCCTGACATTCAAACTATTGGAAAAGCACTCGGTGCAGGTTTCGTACCTCTGTCTGGAGTTTTATTACATCAAAAGATCTTCGATGCTCTTTCAGCTGGCTCTGGAGGTCTCGCCCATGGCCACACATTCCAGGTATGTTCTTGTGGGCGAAACATTGATCCCATCAAGCCCAAGCTAACAAAATCCAGGCTCATCCACTAGCATGTGCCGCTGCTATTGCGGCCCAGAAAATTATTAAGCGAGACAATCTGATTGAGAGATCTAGAATTATGGGCGACAAGTTAGAGGCACTTCTTCGCAAGGAGATTGGCCCTCATCCTCTAGTCGGCGATATTCGGGGACGTGGGCTGTTTTGGGCTGTGGAATTTGTTCTTGATAAGGATATGAAGACGCCATTCCCGATCAACGCCAATTTCTGCTCACAGGTTGTCAAGAACAGTCTGAATCTCGGTTTGAATATTCTAGGAAATCTTGGACATACTGGAGAATATCAGGTCGATCACATCCTGGTCTGCCCACCTTACACTGTGACCGATGGTGAACTTGAGGAGATCGTTTCAATTCTCAAGATCGCCATAAACCAAACGAGTCGGCCATTTGTTGAACAGGTTCAAGATGGGTTTGTGGAGGGGAGGCTTTGATGCTCCAGCCTCGAAACGAAGGGACCATCAGCTCGGGTTGACGGAAATTATGAATTTCTAATACGATCTGGACGATATTTTCTAATTTCAAAGACTCTCCATGTATTTCGCCGTTTTTTTCTCTTTTCCTGATTGGCAATAAAGATGTATATTTTCAAATGAACTTTGAGTAAACACAAAATATTGACTATCCGACAACCGTCAACGACTCCGTGGCATCAGCCAGACTCTCTTGTTTGGCAATCGTCCACTCCCCATTTTCGACATTGAATTCCAGAATATAGAGAGCCTCCTCCTCGCCATTGTACTCGTGTACAAGTTCAAGATTCGGCTCGTCATAGTGGCTCATAAACTCCAAGTCGAGCTTCAACTGAGATCCAGGCTGCAGAGACTCGCGGACCAGAATGACAAAAGGTTCTGCTCGGGCAACGCGTCTGCTGCCTTCAAGTCGGACTGACTGCAGGAAGGACATAGGCGTGCCATCAGTGTCAACTCCAGTAGCTGTAATTCGGTGTCTATCCTCGTCTTGCGTCTCCACTTTAATCGCAAGGCGTCGCCGTAAGACGAATGGAGGAATAGGCAGGTTGAGCTTTTCCATTACCTTGGTCATTAGGACATCCGCCTCGGAAAATACTCTGATATCTGTGAGATTATCAATAGGAGTTTCTTGGAGATTGCAGATCGCAAGTTTGGCTCCTTTGGCCTCCCCAACGATCTCCGGGATACTGTTCGCCGGGGTGACCGTGAGCGAAGATCCAAGAACAAGGCAAAGGTCAGCTATTTCAGCATTTTTCTGCGCTAGCTCCATGGCCTTGGCTGGGAGACTCTCTCCGAAATTGATGATTGTGTCATATAAAGCGCCGCCGCAGCGCGCACATTTCCGCGTTGTGCGATGGTCGTGGTCGCCTTTCTCGTAGGTAGAGACGGCACGAAAGTCTGTGTCAGTGAGATGAGCGATAGAATCAAAAGATCTGATGGTGCGACGATTACCTCGAATATATTCCTTGTCACAATCATAGCAAGACTCCCTGTTACTATTACCGTGGAGTTCTGAAATTGTTTCCTATGGCGCGTCAGCGGACATCATATGGGAAGGAGGTATCTCCCTACCGGTAGTATACCACTTCGTCTGTGAAGCCCATCGCAATTTTGGCTGACGAGATATTTCAAGATTCCGCGATTCTGAAGCTCCACCAGCGCCATGTGCGACGGCGTTGGAATGGCTTGTAAGGTATTGGCATGCTTCGTGCGGGGCCTTCCTTGCGCGCGTAGCGTCCAGTTGCCATCAGGACCTCGAAAGTCGGGAATTCCTGTGAACAAATCTGAGTATATGCATCCCACTTGACACTTATGTCTGGAACTTACCGGCAGATGTCGATATGCCGGCCCCAGTGAAGACGATGAAGTGCTTGCTCTGGAGTATTTGTTTCACCAAAGTCGCGGCCTTTTTATCAACGGCGCTGGCTGCCTCACGGCGCTCTTTTGCAGCAATTTTGGGGGCACTGTCGGCCATTTTGGTATTTCGTTAGTTATGTGAACCTCGAGAGCGTGCGAACATGAGAGTTGAACGCGTTTTGTGTGCTGACAACAGAAACATTAGCCTACGCGGGAAAGGGGCCAAACGGCTCTGCGTGGGGCCGCCTCCTAACAACTTCAGGGTATAGTGAAGGCGCTTCATATCGGCAACGGACCCAATGCCCCGGCCAAATAGTGGGCAAAGAATCGGCTCAGAATGTCAAACAAGTTTCTCTGACCGATAAGCCTCCGAATGGTCTAATGGTATTGGCCTTCATCATTTGGGGGGGGAAGAGTGAGGAGGCTTTGAAGAGACGCACTGGTCCCTGTTTTTTCATGTCGAAAGGTCGAAACCAGTGCAGGGTATTCATTTGGTTTGCTTTCATTTGTTCTCCTTCTCCTATTTGGTTGTTGCCCTTCTACCTAGTTGTTGTGCGTCTGAATGTATCCGTTTGCTGTCCCCACATCACGGTGGGCTACTGGGTCAGTTACCTTCCCAAATATTGGAAGACGTAGTAATCCTTATAACTTGAAGGTATTCGGTATTTTACTAGTGCTCATGATCTGTTCTGTTCTGTGGGATAGTTCCGAGTCAGAGTCACGGTGGACGTTTTAGATCATAATCCTCGAGGTCGGGAGGATTATATATTGTTCACTACTACTCTACCCTCCACCCTCAAATATTCGGAGATTTTCAATGAGAGGCAAGATCACCAAACGAAACATATCATCTTGCATCTCTTCGTTGTCCAAATCAAACTCCTCGCTCCCGGGCCAGAATAAACAGGCTTTCACAACCTTCTTATACTCGGTTCCACTTTGTTGCTCCACGAGATTGACAAAGCGGGCCGCCGTCTTGAGATCAGCGCATGCTTCCATCTGATCCTCATCCTCAGCAGTCCTTAATGTCTCGAGAGTCTGGCACAAGGACAGCTCCACGAGTATCAATCCGAGAGGAAAAAGGATGTCGCTTTGAATCAAGGGAGAGGTTGCCTTGCCTTTACCCTTACCCATTCCCCACATATTCCCCTCATTGCCAACATTCCATTGAACAAAGGGACTATCAATATCAGTGCTTGTATTGAACATGATATCTTTGGCGCGCCAGTGAGTTTTAAGCCAGCTCCCATGAAATTGAAGCACGCTGCAGGCGAGATTCACTGCCAACCGAAGACGCTGCTTTCGGGTAAGTAGAAAGCGGTCGCTTGTAGGCGCTTTGAAATAATCACTTGATTCTGAAATTAGATCAGATAGTGATATCGCTCTCAAATCTGCGGCAATGTTTCGTATATAGTACATATTGTGTCGATGCATATCGTCTGAGAAACACCCGAACGGTTTGTCAGGTTGACAGGCGGCTCCGACACTCGACAGTGTCACGCAAATATTGAGAATGATGGGCGCATCATTAGATTTCTGAATTTGTTGACTTTTCAGATTATCTCCTTGAATCGAAAATTGAACCTTCTTTGGAACTGAAATCTGCCCTGTGACACAGTGCGGAGGGCAGTTGTTCCAGGAAGGTGTGTTCGACTGGACTGTTTCTGTTTCTGTTTCGACCTCAAGCCCAAGATCCAATTTCCGAGGACTATTTATAGGCTCATAAGTGGCGAATATCATTCGAAATCGAGCCTCTGATGAATATTTATTTTGGTCTTTATTCCCGTCGAGCTCAGGGTACTTGAGCATAAAGTGCACAGCATGTCGGTCTCGACAGGGACAATTCCAGCATTTGCCGCCAATGATTGCAGTATGAAGACTGCGAGCAGACTTTCGGGTCCGTCTCTGGCGTAGTAATGACCGCTTTGAGTGTCTCTTTTTACGTATAATGGTTCGGCGATCGGACTGTTCAACTAGGGTTTTGAGCAAATTGTTGGCGGTATCGAGTCGAGCAAACATCCCGTTGTAGATACTTTTAGAAAAGATATCTTTAAATTTCTTGAGCTCACTCTTGAGGAGAGACTTATCCCTTCTGGGGACTCTATGCGATACCAGAAGAAAATTAGCCAAAATCCACCCTTCGGTCGCGTGCACCGAGACTCACCACTGTAGATATTCCCATTTCCCAGCCAAGTTTCTGCTGCAGGCCCTTGAACAGGTTTGACAGTTCGGTCATCGTATGGAAAAGCGGAACGAAGCTACTCCCAAGCTTCTTCTGGAGGCTAGACTGCAGACCTTCTCGTTGTAACAAATCTCCGAGCGGGGTTTGGAGCAGGTCCTCGTCTTCGTCTCCATATTCTCCCACGCTATCCAACAAACTCACCAGGGTATTTTGAAATACTGCATGCTGTATTGCCAGATTGGATTGATAATGCTCGAGCTCGCGGCGATAATGCCTTGCCTTGAAGAGTTTGAGGGTTTGGATGCCTTGAACATAGTTGTCTAACTGGTTCAAGAGAAGTGGTAAAATGGCGAGAGCTACCCCTGCGGCCTCCATTTTGAGAGAAACTTAGAGAGCTAGAGAGTATACCATCTACAGGGAGATGGGTCAAGATAATACGGGTCAAGAGGGGTCGACGAAGTGCGCTGTTCAGCCGCAACCCCGCCTGATCCTGGCGGCTAGAGAAACCTGTACCTCGTTACAACACCCTAATACGCGGACCAGATTTCTCCTTCAGATTTCTCCCTCCCAGAGATCTTTCATTCGACTGACATTTCCATTGATAAATTGGTTCGGAGTGGATTATTTATAAACGAAAATCCTCTCCAGTCTACCGTTCTGTTCGCCTTTGAGCAGCTTGTCAGATCCCGGGACATTGAGAGTCCACGTATCCTACGACAACTTTCAGTCTGACGAAGATCTATTCGCTTTCCGTTCCGGTCAATAAAAAATTGAAGGCGAGGGCGAGATTCCCTAGTCCACATTCGCGCTACTTGAGATTGTAATTGCCTGAGATGCAGATGGATCCTGTGACGCGAGCAAACGATATGGCATATGGGACCGAGACTCGAGGGCAGTGCAACTCTGATGGGAATTCCGAGCACATAATTAGCGATAATGGGTCATTCAGCAGCAAGTCTGGTGATGAGGAAGTGACAAGCAAGAGTCAGCGCGGGCCTGCGAAACGGGAATTATACACAAGCCTCGAAAGAGATGCTCACAACCCGAGCCTAAACTCTGAGCAACTGCAGAAAGCTCCCACCTTGATTTCCCAGCGGGCTATCGAATGCCTCAAAAGTCTCACTCGCCTCTTTGCAGATGAGTCTCTGCAGGGAAGGCACGACGTGGCTCCGGCCCTTTGGCAAGATGAGCTGGGACGCTTGCGAGTATGGGCTGCGAATATTGGTGCCCATCAAACTGGAACTTCCTCTCTCGATTACCGCTTACGAGATGCATCACATATCAAAGACCAAACTCTACTGCTTCTTGGGCGGCTTCAAAGGCTTGCACAGGATATTGAAGACGACATACATGGCTCGGAATATGAAGCCTCTGGATCTGAAGACGACTTTTTAGACGAGGGAAAGGAAAACGAAGACGGAAACGGAAACACCGAACTCCAATCAATATACCATGCATTGGTTGATACCATCAACAATCTTTTCCAGATGTCAATATTAATCCGACGACCTGCCCAACAGGACCGCCTACTTGGTACTAAGCGATCAGACGCTGCTCCATTTGAGCCATTCGATCGGCAGCACGTAGAGAACAAATACCCAAATGCAGACCGAGCTATTATAAATCGCCTTGGCTCGGCGATCTCTCGCCGACGGGCAGTGTTGCGATATCGCGAGCGGCATCATCTTAAATTAATCCAAGGTTTCGGTCAGGCTGTCGGGGGTCTGCAAGATACGGTGTCAACAAAATTTTCAGACACAGTTGCCACGGAGTTTGTAGAGATGCCAGAGTCCTATATTGACTTTGAGTCTCATACTGTTGTTTCTCAAACCTCATACGCTCCAACAATACTTCATGGGGAGGAGGCATGACACTTCCACGTCCGCCAAAAGCATTTGCCGACGGTGCTCCTTTTGAATGTTGTTTTTGCTTCGCGATTATCACTGTCGCAAACAATAATGCCTGGGCTCACCATGTGTTCAACGATTTAAAGCCATATGTCTGCATTTCCCCGGAATGTCAAACTCCTCGCCGTCTTTATGAAAGTCGACGGCAGTGGTTCTCTCATTTAAAAGTTGAGCATGCTCTTCCGGCCAATTCAACCATTAAAATGAATTGTTCCCTTTGCTTGACAACCTTATCTTCTGAAACGCAGTTTGAGCGACATGTGGGTCGACATCTGCAGGAGTTGGCTCTCTTTGCTTTGCCAAAAACTCACGAAGATGGAGATTACGAGGCTATTCTACCAGACACCTCTAGCAATGAATCGAATTCAGTACTTCAAGATACGAACCTTCTGGAAAGCAGCATCTCCAACAAGAGCTTCGACCTAACAGAAAATCTGCATAAGTTGGCGGAAGATATTATTGACGCAGATAGTCCTCATGCAGTCGCGCATATATTAGGCCCGGGGATCCTCGAAGGTCCTATGACCCAGCTGTGGACTCGAATACAACACGACCCCGATAACTATGTTCTTACTAGCGAAGAGTTTGCTTTATTCAACGTCTTCCTCGAGCGATACCGCGGTTCCACCGTGGCACAACGGACCGTAGCGCGGTTTTGGGCCAACTATTATAGCCTCTCAAGCCCGGACAACACCAATCTAGAGGTCTCAGAAACAACTGGTCAGCCCACTCAGCCTGATTCTGTCACGGGCTCCATCTCCACAACTCCTCCCACAGACCGAAAAGGCCATGAGTCACCCAACCAAACTCATTTGGAGGTGCCTGGATATTATAGGATGACAATCGCATCTCCGAACAAATCCAGAAGCCATAATCTGCCTAAACCAGTCACAGATATCTTACGTTCTTAGCTCCTTGCACATCATGGACATCCTTTCCCTACTGAAGACGAGAAGCAGACGCTTATGGAGCTGACTGGGCTTACTATTTCTCAAGTAAGGGCAATACTCAAGCATAACATTAATTGCTATATTTATGACTAATAATTATCCTGCAGATTAGTAACTGGTTTATTAATGCCCGACGAGGAGACCCTGAAGCTCTGAGAGGAGCCAGTAGCACGGTAGACCCTCCCACCACAGGATCTATGCTGCCAATTCCAACTGTGGCGCCCGTGGTACCACTGCCACCTGCCGCTGCCGCTGGACCAGCGTCTTTACCTTGGGATTTCATGAATGCGACTGGTAATATGTCTTCTTTTGCAACTACGGTGCATTCCAACGAGTGGACTGCTCTTGATCACTTCCAGGCTCGCCTCGAGAGGCTAAACGCCAGTCTAACAGAGGAGCATTTGTCAAGGTGGAACCGGGATCAAGATAACTCGTCCGAGTCCCAGCAGCCTTCTCCTAGGGAAGACTAGAAGTCCTCATCACTAAAATTTCTGATATTTCTTCGATGTACCAAATACGTGCTTCGGGACAGTTGAATGAGAATGCCCATATGCTTCCGGTTGAGTGAGCTTCAATCTCACTGAAGTTGATTCATATCTTGTTGTCTTTTCCGACTTTGCCATACGCGATTTTTCAAGACTGGCAGGTGGATATCGAATACTGAAAAGGGTCCAAATAGTCATTCGGGAACAGTTAGTCAAGTACCAATCAGAAGTGTATCCATTGGCAAGCTCCAAAGTACTCAGTAATAGGATCTTAGCTCGGTAATCCAAGATTCAAGCCAAGCTATATCTTTGCCGGGGAGCTCTCAGCCGTTGGTTGTAGCGGTCGGCGCCCCTTGCAGGCTAACTGCTTCTGCTAGGTCCGAAATACTCCGCAAAAAAGGAGGAAAATTAGGGTTCATCGAAAGCTTTGCTCAATTCTAATCAGTTTCTTGATCGCAACCACGTGTTTTTAATTTGTTTATGTTTAGCACACAGGAGTTCCCAATCCGGCATCACTAAGCCGAACCGGCGATCTCGATCCTGATGCTGCTATTGCGGGGAAGGCAGGAGAAGTCATGAAACGTAAAGTGTCACCAACAGGAACAGTACAATGAACTTCCGGTTGGCATAAATAATTCTCTATCAACTATAACTTTGATCCCACCACTCTCGCTACAGCTCCAACTCCAGTTATCTACAGACCGACATTCGCAGCCAGATCCCGATCTCCTTTTATTTCCCGCCCCCTTGCTGGGGGAGATTTTTCAGCTCTAATCCTGGTTCGTTGAAAGGCCCCCTGCCCATGCGACGCACATGGGCAGTGCATTACGTTGACCCGACCGTAGTTATGTCATAAGATAAACTCACGCCACAGGGGGAATAATGGGATGATGAGTTGAAAAAGCTCCGCGGAGTGTGTTTAGTGTAAATATTGCTATTGCTTGGTTGATTGTTAATGGTGTAGTTTCAAGTTGAAAGGAGCCGATCGTAGCGACCAGCCGATAGCCGATGTGGCGTTAGATCCACTGAGCAAAGAGTGAAAGTTGAACCCACTGCCAGAGCCAGAGGAGGAGAGGAGGAGAGAGAAGGAATCCGGGGGGAGCTTGGCGCGGCTGCGGGGAAGCCGATCTATCATCCGCTTTGGTCAGTTGGTCAGCAGCATAGCATTATTCTATTTAATTTCAGTGTTCAAATATATATGGATTTAATGATCTAGAAGATATACAAGTATGATATGAATGCACTTGAAATAAGCATACGCGTGGAAGGAAGCCCTGCGAGTCTCGATACGTCTAGCTCATGGCGTGCTATGGCGTATCCGTTGGTGACGCTTGCGTGCTGATGCGCCAAAGTGACCTACCACGAGATTGTGGTCCGAGTGCCTGGTGGCTTACTCTTCTTTTTAAAGGTTATATTGCAGCTTGTCCTTGGCCTTATTCTCTGTTCTCTCAAATAAAAATTAAATAATATCCTCTAGTATACAGTACTGTATACTGTATACTAATATGGGCCGTCTTAAGGGAACGCGCCTGGGCGCCTTCCGCGCTTACTTCTTTGGCTTCTTCGTTTGCACCGCCGGTTTTCTCTTTGGCTACGACACTGGCATTGTTGGTGAGTTCACCTTTTGGGGAAGAGGGGGGGGATTTTTGTACCTGGTAGTGAACGTTGCTAACCTCCCAGGCGGTATTCTCGAATTCGAATCCTACAGAAATGACTTCCGCTATACCGACAAGACCACCGTCAACGCCGTCATGGTCTCCCTCCAAAATGTTGGCGCCTTCATCGCTGCCCTAGCCATTTTCCCCGTCTCCGACCGACTCGGTCGCAAGAAGACGGTTCAGATCGCCATGTCGGTCTTCTGCTGCGGTGTCATCCTCCAAGTTGTCCCCTCCCACTCCTTAGTCTGCTTCTATATCGGTCGTGTCATCTCGGGTTTCGGACTGGGTGCCGGAACCGCCGTCGTTCCAACTTACAACGCCGAGATGGCCCCCAAAGAGATTCGGGGTATGTTGGGATCAGGCGTACAGTGGCTTTTCGCCCTCGGGGTTATGATCAGTTATTGGATTGATTACGCTGTTCAGCGAACACTGCCGGGTCAATCGAAGCAATGGCAGATCCCGGTCGGTCTGCAACTTGTCCCCGCTACTGTCCTTGCTTTGGGTCTTTTTACCCAGCCCGAGAGTGTGCGTTGGCTGGCGAAGAAGGATCGCTACGATGAGGCTTGGGCGAGTCTGACGTGGATGCGTGCGGATGATGGTGAGTACTGAGTACCCCTTCACTATGTGATGAGCATTCCTCCGAGCAAAACTAACATGAACACCACACACCAGGCCCCGAAGTCAAAGCCGAATTCGCCGAAATACGCGCAGGAATCACAGAGGAAGTTCGCGCCAGCGAAGGCATGACAAAACGCGAACTCCTCGAACCAGCCAACCGCTACCGACTACTACTCGGAGTTTTCCTCTTCTGCGGCCAACAATGCACCGGCATGACAGCCCTGGCTTACTTCGGCCCGCAATTCTTCAAGCTACTCGTCGGTAACGATAGTAGTCGCTCTCTACTCATTACTGGTCTGTTCGGTGCGGAGAAGTTCATCACAGTCGGTATCTACATCCTCTTCTTCTCGGAGATGTGGGGGCGTAAACCGACGCTCTGGATTTCCGCTATCCTAATGTCGATTTGCTTTATTATTGTTACTGTCGTCAATAATACGACTCCGAAGCCTGAGTCGGAGGTTACTTCCTCTGGTATCGCGACCGTTGCGATGATTTTCTTGACCAATTCGATTTATCAGTTTAGTTGGGGTCCATTGCCGTGGCCTTATACTACCGAGGTGAGTTCCGCCTTCTTTCCCTTTTTCTCGATTCAATGCTGTGAATGCTGTGGCTTAAATCTAACTCATCTCAGATCTTCCCAACCCGCATCCGAGAAATCGGCTCCTCAGTCTCCGTCTCCACACAGTGGCTCTTCAACTTCCTCTTCTCCCTCGTCACGCCATACATGCAAGCCTCATGGGGTAGTTATACCTTCCTCTTCTACGCAGCGCTGGACATCATAATGGCCATACTGGTCTGGTTCTTCGTGAAAGAGACCAAGGGCCGTAGTCTGGAAGAAATGGAGACCATCTTCCACAGCAAGGCTGCGTTTGATGTTGAAACGGTCCGTCATGAGGGTGTGCCTGTTTCTGCTAGTGTTGAGGGCATCGATATTCAACATAAGAAGTCGCATGATCTGTCGGAGTAATTGGTTGTTTGTGTTTGGCGTTTTTTGAAAGTTATCCTGCATCAGGTGGCGGATTATACCCTCCATGCTTTCGAGTTAGCATGGATGTTGATATGTGATAGGAAGTCCTTTGGATTATCTGCATTGTGGTCTACGTAATGCTAGTAGTACTGGGTATGCGATGTGCAAGCTTGAAGGTAACTCTGCCGAAGTATTATGTAGTACCTAGTACCCGCCTGCACTGTTGTCGATATATGTAGGAGTGATTGCGTGATGTGGGGGCTGTCTGATTCAAGTTTATATTGGTGCCAGTGGGTCGGCGGATCTTGGTGGCTTGCTCGGTACGATGAGCCTACGCAGTACCAGTCGGATCGAGAGAACCAACATACGTACTTGGATGCCCGAGCTTGGTGTAGACTTTGATCTATCGGTATGTGCTAGTACTACCTACTAAATTGGAAGTAGGTAAAAGTACGATCTGAAATGGCACTCCTCCGAGTCTGCAACGTCACCTGGACGTTCCAGTTCTCTCAACCTGGAGGGCTGGCATACATCAACAGCTCTCTTGGAACATATGATCAATCAGGCTCAAATTATCGGGAAATTTGAATCCACTGGACTAGGCTCAGGCTCTCGTTCAAATCTCAAGTTCAAGTTCAAGTTGCAATGGATATTATTACAGTATAAACAAAATACTAGTACTCAAATACAATCATTTTGCATCGGCCTCCCCAATCCCCGATGCCCATGCAGGATCTCAGCACCAACTCCAGTCCAGCACTGACATTGCCTTACAACGCCTTCTTACCCTCATCCTGGCGCTGCTTCTCAACCACATACCCAACAGCCCTAGCAATACCCTCATCAACCGGAACAACAGGAAGATAAGCAAGACGAAACTTCGCCTTTTCAATAGAAAAATACCGCGTCATGCACGAGTATCTCACAGTCCGTCTCGTCAACTTCGGCGTCTTCCCCAAAAGACCAAGCACAGACTCCGCAATACCCCCAATAACACCAAGCAACCCCTCAGGCAACGACCAAACCTGATCAGGCTCAACAACCCGATCAATAAGCGCCCACATACCACGCGTCACGTCCCAGAAATAGACAGGCGTGTCATTGGTGATGTTGAACGCCTCGCCGTCCACGCGCTCGTGGTCTAGAGGTCCGCTCTGCCCGGAGTCGTATCGCTCGTAACTGGCTAGTAGTCGGAATGCGGCGAGCATGTGTGAGTATGCGACGTTGCCCACGTAGGTGAAGTCGAAGAGGTTGTCGTTTTCGCCGAGTTGCATGCGCAAAACGGTGTTTGAGGCGGACGCGCCGTGTTCCAGGATCTTGTGGGTTAATGTTGTGTCCTTTTCGCCGTGGATGCCGGCGGGTCGGATGGCGGCTGTTACCATTCCCGTTGGTGATTGGCGGTTATACTTTAGGACGATTTCTTCGGCGTCGGCCTTGGGGTAGAGGAGGAGGTGTTAGTTTTGTCTTGGTCTGGGTTTTGTCTTGAGGTGAGGGGTGGTCGCCATTGCTGTGCGCTAGTTTAACATACCTTGGTTTCGGAGTAATACTCCTGCTGCAGCTTGCCGCGAATCAAAGGCCACTGCTCGTTGACATTGATCAGATCGCTCTGGGTGTCGTGGACGACGGAGCTGGAACTGGTGTACACGAAGGCCTTGCACTTGCCGCCCCAGTCACCGTGCTCGCCGCCGGCAACCTGGAGCAGAGTGCGCGTGCCATCGACATTGACCTTGTACAGCAGGGGCTTGTTGCCGTCCAGCACGGAGGGGGTCGCGGTGTGGATCACGACGTTCGGCTTGGCGGCGCGGAAGACCTCCAGCATGGAGTCGACGGAGGTGATGTCGCCATCGTAGTAGGTTGCGCCGGGCAGACGGTTGTGGGAGGTGCGGAGGTCGACGACGGAGACGTTGGCCTTGTAGGTTGGGTAGCGCGAGCCGAGGGTTGGGAATTCGAAGCGCGAGTCGTTTTCAGGCTTGGGGAGGGCGACGCTGGGGTCGGTTTCGGAGGGGAAGTTCAGTAGGTGGTCTACCACGTGCCAGCCCAGGAATCCACAGCCGCCGACGACGAGAACATTGCCCAATTCAATTTTGTGCTGGTGGGCTGCCATTGTGTTGGTTGATTATTTTTGTGCTTTCGGATGGGGGAAAAGGGGACTTGGATTGGAGACGGAGATGGGTTTGGATGGGGTGCGGTGCCCAGTGGGACCTCCGGCCAGGTGGCACGTGCGATAGGCTATTATCTACTGCCAAGTGGAGCTGGGCATATTTAGTTCATGTTCATGTTGATGTTCATGTTTATGGTCATGGTCATGGTATAATAAATGCATGGTATGGATGCTACATCTGGACTTTATGGGTGAAGATGCATTTCTTGTGTTCAAGAGCTACACCGCTAGATAGAGAATCATCATTCGTAAGCAACTGGCATCTCCTATCACAGGTGACAAGAGCTATTCGCCTTTTAGCTATCTCGACGAGATAGTTCATATGAGCCCACAGCTCATAGCAATGTATTGACCCGGAGGACGGGGATAGCTACTTCAGTGCCTACTGAGATAGACGCCTATAGAATGAATATTAGCCAACATTATCCAAAAGGGGAAGGACATTGCCTACTCAGTAGCCTCCGCGATGCTGAGACGAAGCTTTCGGTTATAGAGCCTCTGTTCTTCCTTAGAGCCCCAGCAGAGCTTGGTCGCTTCCGGGTTCACAGTCATCAGGGGGGTTATAGGGCGGTGCCTCTTCCTCCAGAGTGTTGATGATTCCTTCGATATGGCGCGACATTTCCTCCGCACGTGCCGGAAGATAGATCAAAGCACCCTTGGGCGAAACACGGATGTGGAAGATTGGAGTCTCCAAAAACACCCGCGGCTGCTCGACCGGGTGACGGGGACTGATGTAGATCTTGATTCGCAAGACTCCACCATCAAACCGGGTCATCGGTCGACCAAAGTATGTCAGTCGCCAGAGAAATGGGTTGTCGTTGACCATCTCCAGCTCGACCATCGACTCCGTGATGCGTTTTATTTGAGAGACGATCTGACTATGCTGTCCCCGAAGACTGACTGCAATCCCAACATCCTTGACGACCATCTCGAGTCCTGTTTCGGGCCATGACAAGGTTTCTTCCACCAGCTTGTTCTCGAGATTGTTGAGGCGTTTCCGAAGGTCTTGGTAGTCCCAGAACCCTCTCATTTCGTTTTCCTCCACCTTCGAATCGGGCTAAGGGAAATCCCCCTTGTCTCGCTTCTTGATTGAAATGTCTTGACTTTGTTCTTCGATGGTTTGCTTGTACTGCTCCAGGTACCAAAGAAATCGCTGCTTCATATAGTCATCGACGACTCCTTGGTGCCACGAGCCAGACGATGAGCTCGCTTCTGGCCCGAATTGTTCAGTCAGGTGCAGTATCTTTTCCAGAGGTTCGATTACTGTGAGTCGTAAATTTTCGTGGCAGATCTGGATGTACTGATATTAGCCTGTGCCCGTAGGCTCCTCTAGGGCCATCCTCTGACCTTTGAATTGTAATCCTGGACCTCTTTTTCTTCGGACCTAGAATTAGACTTTTCGAATCCTGGCTCATTATAGTAAGGATCTATGGAGAGCAGGCTCTGGATCGACAGCAACGCTGATTCCAATCCTTGTGCAGGTGACCATTGCTCGCCAGATTTTCCTTGCCATGTTCTGTCGCGTGTCACTGTGTCAGTATTGTCCTCGCATAGGCGACGAGCTGGGACCTACCCAAGAATAGACCTGTAGGATATCGTTAGAATGCAAGAATCCCGATAGCCAGGCCCGTGACCCAACGCCAGTGAAAATTTGTACTTACAGGCAAACCTTTCCGCAGGAATAAAGATTCGGGCCGAATCGAGTCTGGCCACGATTTGTGGTCTTGATGGCGACTTTGGGTGGCTTGGCGGGGTATTCTATATATACCTGCGTCAGCCAGGATCACGATACGAGGACTCAGATGGGGTGGAGACGCAAGTTACCGGGAGGGATTTTGATCGCAAACTGCAGTGGAGGTAAGAGAGATGTCTCAAAGATGAAGGTAAGTGGTAAATTGAGCTTACTTGGTAGAAACCATAGGCGTAGGGGGTGCCAGGTGAGCCAATCATTAAAGCCCAGATGTCGCAGATGTCGCGCTCATTGTAGTGCACCGTCATGGCTGTTCTCAGAATTAGCAGGGAAGAGGGTTCTTCGACGCAGGAAAAACATGTATTTTCTGACCAAGAGAGTCGCCATTCTGCAAGAGTCGGAGTTCCTGTCGCGATAGGTCAGTGGGAGGACATTCCATGTGTTTAGGGTAGGGTATGGATGGTGGACTCACCCGCATCAAGCGGAGGGTGCACTGGTCTCCCATGTTGTTTTGCGGTGAGAATTGTGAGTGAAGTGGTTGAAAAGAGATGGATTGAAAAGTTAGAGAAAGATGGAAGGAAGATCAATCATGATGGTGGGTGAGCACTGAGTATGGTGAGGATCAAGGCAAAGGATGATGGGTTGTAGAAAGGAAAGGGAAGAGAATGGCGGAGGTGGTTCTGCATTGACTTGGCGCAGTCAAAGACCAAAATCACCAATTCAAAACGAGCGATCCTTTGCTGGGTTCAAAACAACATGGCTGATGAACCTTGAGTCGAGTTGAAGAAGGATTGACGTCGTGTTCACATCAACCACTGAAGGAAGTAAGTAGGGGAAAAGAGTGGGTAGGTTTAGTCCAAGGGTTCACTATTGCGGGGCCGTAGTTGGTGGTGTGGTGGTGGTAAAAGGGTTTATTAGTTACTACTAGTACTTGGTTGTAATTGTAGAAATTGCAGAAAATTGTAAAAAATATAAATAAATATATTCTAACTCTATATAGGAGGAAATAAATAGAATAGACCCTAGGTAACTTGAATGTGTATCACTGCCCAGGTGTATACTACTCCTTGACTGCCCGCCAAGCCCGCTCTGCTATAAAAAGACAAAACAACTGATGATCATCAACTCACACAACAGCAGCACAAATAGTACATGGAGTGATTAAATCTATACTGTAGTATTTCTAAATACTGTTCAAATAATATTTAGCATAATAATTAACACAATATCACCAGGAATGAAGAATATCCTGCCGATTTCACTCCTCTAGTAGATCCTCACGTGACTCTCAATAGGGGGGGGGGCAACCCGATCCTTCTCCAGAGAGCATCTCCATTTCCACTCCCATCTCCATCTCCATCTTCATCTTGTTCCCCTACTCCCCTTTCTCACCCCCCTCCCAACCCTCCTCGTTGATCCTCCTCTGGGCTCTTTTTCTCCGCCCCCACTTTCACCAACACTCGTCTACCCGCACATGGTGGTCGCTGTCATTCCGTGCGCCCGCTCTCGAGAGCTCCCCTCGATCCCCCGCGTCCAACTAGCTTGTGCGCGCTAAGAGAGGACCCTTCCTCCTCGGCTGCAATCCTTCTCAATATCAACCTCCACCTGCTTTCTGGTATAAGGTGGTCGCTCTCCTGTCCGACCTAATTCTCCCTCCCTGTCGACCCTCGATCGTCTTTGTTCTCGCGCTCCAAGTGGGTGGCTACATGGCGTAAAGTGTGAGTAAACGCTGATGTGGGACCCTTTCGAGAGACTCGGCGCCTCTGCCAGGCCCACGCTCTTTTGGCTAACGAGACCCTCTTTTCCCCTAGAAATAGCACGCGCTCAACTTCTGCCAATTTCTTCTCTCGCTCTCTCGCTCTCTCTTCCCCTCTCCAAACAATATACCCGGTGTTTACTCGACCCGACCCAACTTGACCACCCCCCACCGTCTCTCGGATTCCCTTGCATGCCATCTCCGCCCTCCCACCGCTCCCGCGACTCGATCATATTGATTCTGAACGGGGACCATCATGCCCCCCGGTGAACTTCCGGCTAGCCTGGTCGCAGGCAAGCCCCACCCCACGCTGAATACCTCAGGTTACGGAGGCAGCTACCTCTCCAAGAACACACCAACCTCCCCCGAGGACAGCCTGATCCCATTCGACTCTCCAACCACCCGCACCGCAGGGAACAGTCCGTTGAATCATAGCCCTTTGAACAACAGCCCGCTGGGTCAGGATGATGTTCGCTCAGGTCGTGGCCTCGAACCCGAACAGCCTGGGTATCGGGACCGCTCCGGGGCCCGTGATCGTTCGCGTACCAATGGACGACCTCACAACAAATCTCCTGGCTCATCTCGGTTGTGTCAGAAGTGCAATGAGCCGTTGACCGGCCAATTTGTTCGAGCTCTCGGTGGTACCTTTCATCTAGAGTGTTTCAAGTGCGATGTAAGTACGCTCTGTGGGGAACGATACGAGGGTTGAAATTCCGACCACAAGCTGACTGTATTCAAATCCTAGGACTGTGGTGAGATTGTCGCCTCCAAGTTCTTTCCTGTCGACTCTCCAGATGGGAGCGTTCAATATCCACTCTGTGAAACCGACTACTTTAGACGTCTTGGTCTACTCTGCCATGAGTGCGGCGGTGCACTTCGCGGATCCTACATAACGGCATTAGAACGCAAGTACCATATCGAACATTTCACATGCTCAGTCTGCCCGACAGTATTCGGTGCCCAAGATTCATACTACGAGCACGAGGGCAAAGTGTACTGTCACTTTCACTACTCCACTCAGTTCGCTCAGCGCTGCCACGGCTGCCAGACCGCCATACTCAAACAATTCGTCGAGATTTTCCGCAACGGCCAGAACCAACATTGGCATCCCGAGTGTTACATGATCCACAAATTTTGGAATGTGCGGCTGTCACCCGCCGGTCAAACGTGGGAGCCTCCTCCAGTGGACGTGGATGCCAGCCCCGAAGAACGCGAGCGTATTCGCCAGGAAGAGGATACGATGGAAGAGAAAGTTTACAACATTTGGAGCACACTGTCTACTTTCGAAGAGTCCTCGGCTGCTTGCATCTCCGATATGCTCCTGCACGTTAGCAATGGTGCCTACATCGATGGTGTTCTCATCGCGAAACGATTCATTGGTCATGTGGAGATTCTTTTCGGTGCAGTTGACGAATTGGCCAATTATATCAGATCTCAAGGAGTAAAGGGTAAGCTGACCAGCTATTTCCTCGGTTATTTTCGCATTGCATACTAACACAGTTTCGTTAGATCTTTCATATGGCCGCGAGGCGAAACTTCTATGCAAAAAGATTGTCGCTTTCTTCTCCCTTCTGTCCAAAACACAAGAGACCGGTGTTCGAAAGCTCGGTGTCACCCAGGAGCTACTTTCCCTTGTGACTGGCCTCGCCCACTATCTCAAACTCCTTATTCGTATCGGCCTTCAGGGTGCTCTGAAGCTTGAGCGTGAGATGTCAGGACCCGATGGCCTGCACAGTTTCCTGGGCCATCTTGGAGATTTGGAATCGCTCATTCCGCCCGAAGATGAGGATCAGCCAATTGACCTTACAGCTGGAGTTGAGGGTCTGGCTGACCAGTTGTCTGATTGCTGCATTTCTTGCAAAGAGCCTATCGACGATGAATGCGTTCTTTGGGGAGAGAAGAATCGCTGGCATATCAAGCCGACTCATCTGTCCTGTTCCTCATGTGACAAAGACTTAAGCACTGACGTTTCCGACGCCTTGTGGAGCGAAAATGAAAAGCTCGCCTACTGCTCGGGATGTGCTCACCAACAAAACCTCAGTTCCAGTGTCCAAGGTGGCTTCATCCAAGTTTCCAAGTTGCAACAATTCGTTTTCCTGCTGAGAGTTGCCCTTGCCCGTCTTCTCGCCGTGCTCCGTGCAGGCGGAACTCTGCCTCAGCCCGGTAAGTGCCCCGTCTCCCACCTCGGCGTATTATTCAAGTTTTTCCCACTAACAAACTCCTGAGATGATCCTAACTTCGAGAGCAGAGATGGCGCGCGACCCCTGCCTGCCAATTCTCGTCACTCGTACGTTCGCCACTCCATGTCTCATGGCGCTGGCGGGCCTCGCGATGGCTTTGAAGAGTCTTCGTTGGAGCAAACTGTTGGCGAGATGCGCCGACTGCGCTCAATTCGCAACGAGCGGGCCCTCTCCACAACCTACAAGAAGGCTCGCGCCTCGCGGATAATCGATGGTCCAGAGGGTAGGAGTGCGCGACCTGGGTCGTCTGGTAATGACGGGAGTGATCCCAACGGACACGGCTTTCAAATCGTCGAAGAAAGAGATGCCAACGGCGAAACAGTCAAAGACCTGACATTTGGCAACCAGGATGCACTCACATTGGATGATATCCCACGTATTGTTGCCGCGGAGCAAGCCAAAGAACAGCGCCCTAATGCATATAGGCATGCTGGTACTAAACTCGTCGATGCCGGGGAGCCAATGGCCCGGTATAGGCCTAGTCACGGACGCAACATGTCTGACGGCAACATAAACAACTTGTTGGTCGAGCCTGCAACTCGGACCAAGCGATACTTCTCTGAGCTTAGCGCTCTGGAATACTTTATCGTCCGCCATGTTGCTGTTTTGTCCATGGAGCCATTGCTGGAAGGTCAGTTCACCATGGAGGAGCTGCTCTCTCTCATCGAGTCACGGAAGCCGACGGCTTGGGGTATCTTCGGTCGCGCATTCAAAGACGAGAAAAAGAAGGGCAAGAAGAAGGGTGTCTTCGGAGTTAGCCTGGAAGCCTTGCTGGAGAAGGAAGGTACTGAATCCAGCCACGGCGTGGGTCCGGGTGCTCTGCGGATTCCCGCTGTCGTGGACGACGCGGTCTCAGCAATGCGCCAAATGGACATGTCCGTCGAGGGTGTCTTCCGGAAAAATGGAAACATCCGACGACTGAAGGACCTATCCGAGATGATCGACAACAGATATGACCAAGTCGACATGAGCAAGGAAAATCCAGTCCAGATTGCAGCCCTCCTGAAGAAATTCCTTCGTGAGATGCCCGACCCATTGATGACCTTCAAGCTTCACCGGCTGTTTGTTACTGCACAAAGTGAGTAGCCATGATCTAAACCGTGTTTGATAATTCACTGACCTGTTCGCTAGAATTACCCGACCCTGAGAAGGGCAAGCGAGTGCTCCATCTTGCATGCTGTCTTCTGCCCAAGGCTCACCGTGATACGATGGAGGTTCTCTTCACTTTCTTGAACTGGACATCATCCTTCTCCCATGTGGACGAGGAGTCTGGAAGCAAGATGGATATTCACAACTTGGCTACCGTGATGACACCTAACATCTTGTACCCTAATTCCAAGAACAGCACGGTGGATGAGAGTTTCCAGGCCATCGAGGCAGTCAACGCTCTTATTGCGTACAATGACACCATGTGTGAGGTAAGTAACAGCCGGATTGTATTGAATGAGGTTCCTTTTTTCCTAACCTTTCCTCAGATTCCGGACGATCTCCAGGGTATTCTGAGCGACCCCACGCTCTTCAAGGAGAACGCCAAGGTCACGACGAAAGAAATTCTCAAGCGCTACGGAGACATTGCTCGTGGTAGCTTTTCTCCCAAGCCAGAGAACGGCGGTGAGACTTTCACAATCACCAACTCTAACCGCAACAACACTACGCCCGCCGCTTCGGCCCGTATTGAAGGCGATCCGTCTCAGGATGCAGCATGGCAGATGCAAAGCTCGGTTCGACACGTTGGAGGTCCTAGCCATTCTCATTCGAATAGTAATGCCCCGCAAGCGCAAACCGGCTTTGATTTCAATCCTCCGCAGCCGGCCTACCATCGTGAGCGCAGCGGCAGCAACGGAAGCCAACCGTCTGATGGACAGCAACAAAACCTCTCATATCGAACTCGACCCGGTCAAGGCGCTATGGGAGTTACTGGCTAGGCTTGTGTTTTCGCTTTTTCTTCGTTCTCGTCCACTTTCTGCACAGCTGCAATTCTGATACACCATTCATCGATGACCATGATTTGCATCAATCAACCTGGCGCCATATCCGATAGCCCGTGGTGTATTTCATTCCCTATTATACTTCTTCGGGGGCTTGATTAGCGTTTTTGTTGTCTTCTCTTTCTCTTTCTCTTTCTCTTTCTCTTTCTCGTTTTCCTTCCATCTCGACTGACAGGCTTGGTTGACGGAGTTCTCTTCTTTCTCCTTTCCCTTTTCTTCACTCTTCTACCTAGTTTCCTACATGCTCTCCTACATGATACATCCAAAATTTTCCAAAAGTGATCAGCGAGCTGATTTGCTCCGATGGATTGGCGTCCGTGGCTCTCCATCGTACCCCCTTTTACTCTCACGCCAAGACTGCGTCCTTGTTTTTTCTTTCTTTCTTTCTTTCTTTCTTCTACTTTTTCTACTCTCCGGCTCTGCATCTGATTCTGGGGATCAGCCTCACCATACCCATTCCATTCCATTCCGTTCCATACCATAACTACTCACAATGGCACACATCCATCCTGCTTTCATTTACTCGCCGACCGTGTGGCACACTTTCTTCACTACTTATAGCTGGACCAGGGCTCCGGCTTTTACCTTGGTCCCATTTTTCTTTTTATCTTGTCTAGCTTTGTTCTTTTCTTTTCTTTTCTCACTTCTCTGTGCAGCTTCTTTTCTTTCTCCTCCGACCTAGCGGTTATAAGGTCGGGGCAGCCTCCCTTTTCCTTCCCGATTTGCTTTTGTCGCCCTTTCCTTTTTCTTACTTGCTCGTCAATCAGCATGACTGCAATGATACCTGTGCTGAGTCCAATGTAGCTATCGCCTTTGGTGATTGTCTTTTTGCTTTCCTCTTCGCTTTAGTGATGGCATCTAGCAATGCTGTCGGAATGGTAAATAGTAAATACTACTAGTGGCTTCTCAGCCGTGTTCATTTGTAGATGTAACCGCACACCCTAGCAATTCCCAGTATGCTTTTAGGCATAGTACCTCCTAGTTCTTAAATAAAATATTTGTTCAAATACTATTCAACACAAGACGTTTAATGTAATTTCCAACACGCACCTTCACACTATCCCCACCCTCAAGGCGTGTAATGACCCACACGTGATCCACTCAAAGGAAAGAAAATTTCTTGCAACTCAATGTTAAATATTTCCAATATTCATCATGATTCTTGCGATTGAATTCTCGAGACTGGAGAGTCTAATCAGGAAGTTTCCATGTTTGCAGTGTTGACACTACTTTGTGGACAAACAGCGGCACTTTTTTACATGGAGGTCTACACGATATAATCCCAGCATTGATTACCCTCTGATAAGTGAACTCTTGATCTAGTTAAGAAAAAGGGTAAAGGTATACCAAATAAAGTGACCCTATTATCTAATCTCATCGCCCCTATGGCCTAGTGGTATGGCATCGTTCTTATGTTGTTTATCCTTTCAAAGGAATCAATATGAACTTGGCTAGCGAAGTGCCCCGGTTCGATCCCGGGTGGGGGCATTTTTTTGCTTCTGTGCTATATACTTGATCTATTTTTGTGTCCAGGATGATGAGTAGGCTTTTTATTCTCACTTCCGCTTGTGAAGTTGTTGACTTGGCCGGTGTCATATCACAAAAGTATACCCAGAGCAGCAAATGCACAACACAAAGAAAAGTGATATGTAGTAGAACATGAGTAGATCGTTCAATTTCCATCGAGTTCAACTTGAAAGAATCTATTGGCGTATCATAGCCCATTATATCTACTCATCATCCCTAACACGCTTTTATCTTGATGACGATGATGGTGCTGATGGTGAAACACAGACGCTTTCGCAGGTTCCTATTCCCTTCTCTATAATATAGTATACAAATTTACCTCCGACCCGATCGAGAATTCCACCATTGACGAACTGGCCACGTCAAAGCACCCGCAATATCATACGCCCAGCCAAACCATCCTCGAACCTGCACAGCGGTATGGACAGCAGTCAACATTCGTTGGGTAAAGATATCTGCAGGATCCATGTCATGAAGATAGCACTCCCAGACCGGCCCTTCTCGTTCCTGAAAACCCTGGGAACCATCTTTGTTCTCGGGGTATTCGGGGCCAACGCCTCCAGTCGAAGGATCAAGCTTCAATTTCGGCCCCGTGACCAGCGAGCGACCTATGCAATTCCTATCCGCAACCAAATACGACGCCGCGTCCACAACATCCTCGATTTTGCCCAGCGGGCAGCCTGCCAGGAGCGCCCGCGGCGGCGCTTGCATGAATGGGGTATCTGTATAGTACGGACAGACGATGTTCACCCGAACGCCGGCGCTGATCGGGGCTGATATCCGTAGACACCGGAACAATCCCAGAATCCCGTGCTTTGAAACGGTGTATGGCGCCTGCGTCATAAGTGGGTGTAGACTTGCAACTGATCCCAAGAGCAGAATGTGTCTATCTCTTCCAAGCAGTTTCTCCGACTCGGACTCGGACTCGGGGGCACTGGCAGCCTCGCGACAAGGCTTGGAGTCGGGATTTTTCGGCAAGAAGAACAATGCCAAATGCACCGTATACATGACACCGGTGATATTGACATCAAGCGTTTTGAAACTTGGAGCAGGTGGGCTGGGATCATTCAGATAGTCGACTTTGGGATTTTCAAAATTACTAGCTTCGCGGCCATCGTTGATACCTGCATTTGCAACGACCGTGTCGATTCCACCATGCGGACTTAGTCTGAGAGATTCGCGGAAGAAATTCACCTGCGAGGTCCAAGATGTGACATCCAATTGGATGAAATGCACGTTCGGGTTCTGCGTTTCTTGCCGGATTCGTGCTGTGACTTCTTCTCCGCTTGGGTTGATGTCTCCGAGTATCACGGTGGCTCCGGCAGCTGCCCAGCGTGTGCCAAATGCAGCGCCAAATCCTGAGGCGCCGCCGGTTATGAGGATTGTCCGGCCTTTTATCTGGGCTGGATCGTAGGTGAGGTCCATTTGGAATTATTTGAGACCTCGCTGGATGGGTCCGGTAGTGAACAAAGAGCACGATGTTGCGAATCTTTCGCTGGGAGAGAGAGTTGATATCAGGATCGAGGAACCGGTGTTGCAGATATCAATCGTGGAAAGAGCGTTTCTGAATGGATTAATCAAAAAGGCGCAAATTTATGGACAGCTCAGCCTTGGAGGTCAAATGTTTGAAGTGGGTCTGGCTCTGAGCTCAATGTCGGGCAGGATTGGCCAGTTTCTACGATTTGCCGGTGTGTTGGTGGCTGAATCGATGGGGTGAGAATTAGCGATCTCAAAGTCCAGCCCCTTGGAGTCGTGTTTCTTTTTTTTCAATAAGGCGAAAGTCAACACACGGGCTGTTTCATAGAAAATATCTTAAATGGGCAGTCTTGGTAATTAGGCAGGCTACTAAGGAGTGTTGTCAGGGCGCTGGATGACTCTAGAAGCACTCCCGAGATGGTTATGCCATGCCAAGGTAAATGTTCGGTGGGGTTAGGAACATCCATCTTGTAGATCTTTCTCAGATCATGCTAAATATAACGCTGCGGTTGATAACTAATTTCAAGTATATTGACACGCCTGATTCGACAGTTTCTAATTAGTTTCGTGGGCGCAAGTTTCGATTTTCGACTACTCATCCACCAAATCACCTGGGCACCTAGGCATCAAGACACATTTTTAGTTGGCTTCATTGAAACAAGGTGACAAGAGTTAAAATCAATGCATTACTAGAAATTTGCAGTTCTTTGCCCTTTGCCCATTGCTGTGGCTATTGCCACGTGATATCTGTCCAAATCCCGCCCCGCTTGAACCAGCCGAACACTTGCCACTCTTGCACTCATGAAGTACCCAATGCTAAGATGCCGGAGGATGCGTCAATCCTTCAACATGGAGAAATTCAAGCAAAAAGACAAATTCGATCTCGAACTGGCTGCCTGACATGCCGCCGCCGCAAGAAGAAGTGCGATGAGAACCGTCCATCTTGCGCAGGATGCCAACGTAATCATCTGGAATGCCAATGGGAGTCTAGTGACTCGCTCTTGAGGCCTAGAAGCCGCTATCGAAGGGCGCGTCTGTCGGAAAACTCAAACTCACTACCTGAAGAAGTACAAAGGAGAATGAACATTTTCTTTGTTCTAACACCAGACCTTGTCTATCGTTTGCTCGGTCACTTTCTTGACGATAGTCCAAAATGGTTATCAACCAGGACAGGGTCGCGAAGAACTGATTACTTGAGATGGTTGTCTCCTGCCATATCGGAGAGTCCTCTGGTATTGAATTGTATCCTTGCTATATCATCAGCAGATCTGCTCAAATACAACCGTGGCAGCCGAGAAATCGGTCTTGTTGCTGTCGAGTATTATGGAAAAGCAGTTTCTAGCCTCAGGGCAGCAATCGATGATGAGATGGCCATTGCTTCACCATCCTATTCGTTCTTTCCTGGTACGACTCATCTCGTTCTCATATATTACACTCATTGTTTTAATACGAGCCCACAGACTATACCCCCCTTGCAGTACTCTTACTATGCGTGCACGAGGTAATTAATCCGAGACCCCGTGGTAAACTGCTACAACCGTCCTGACTAGCAGTTTAGACCCAAAACTTCACGGAAAGTGAGAGAATACTGCCACATCTCAACGCAGCAGTATTCCTACTACAAACTCGAAATCTCTCGCCAAAGCAAAGATCCCGGCTTGCGGGAGTTCTTATTTGAAACATTCTGCTATTTTTTCTCTCTCGCCTCGTTTTCGCTCGGGTCTAAACTACCTCTTTTTCAAGCTTCTCGCATCTTTAATGAACCAATGGTCATCGAACATATTCGAACAGGTCATATCATGGGAACGGCGCAACACTTATTCATCGCTATCTACCGTGTCTCGGGCCTTGCTCAAGTGCTGGCTTCTGGAAACCCCGAAGAGGTAACCGCTGCCATATCAGAGCTGAGGTCACTGGATGAAGAGCTTGCATCC